AAGGCGGTCGCTGCGGGGCGGCAGACACGGCTCTTCCTTGCCTGTCTAAACTACGCTGACGCTGACGCTGATGCTGATGCTGATGCTGATGCTGATGCTCGCCGGAGAAAAAAAACTCGAACACGGCCGGCAGCATAGTTAATATATATGCATCAGAGTCGCCCCCGGGATGGGTTCTCGCGCTGTGCGAATGCAATCCGGACAGAGTGCTATGTTACTTGGGCAGCGGACTGACTGACTGGCTGGCGCCCCCTTTTTACGTTGTATAGACAGCAGCATGAAAGCCAGAGCGTAGTGTAGCTTGGTCGGCTTTGCAATGCGACCTCATCTCGAACTAGAGACATCCTCGCTGCCCGGGCTTGTCTTTCAGGTCGACTCGCCGGCGCATCCCAGCCCCTTACAGCCAGATCCATGCATATAATCGAGAGCTTGCTGGGCTTCTTCGTCAACGTCTTTTTGCTTTTTTTTTTTTTTTTTTTTTTTTTTTGCTAGTGACGGTCACGTGATGGCGATATTTTACGAAGCGAAGGCGAAGACGAAGACGAAGCAGAAGAAGCAGAAAAAGAATAGCAGTTTGGAGACGGTTCAAGGAGAAGAAATAGAGGAGAAGAGTCGAAGAGAAGATAGAAAGACGAATTGAAGCCGAGAAGCGGAAGAGGGCAAGATGGAAATGTCGAGGAGCCGCTGCTGGGCGCAGGTCGGCCAGGTAAGAGAGAAGCTGCTGCTGGTAACAGCGAGAGGCAGAGAGACTGACAGCTTGCAGGCAGCGAAGAAGCAGCTCGCGGGGAGACAGCAGTGCCGGTATGCAAAGAAGAGTCTGCTGGGAGTGGCCAATCGCAGTCTCTCCAGCAGTTCCAGACCCATACAGCCGATCAGAAGCAGCGGCAGCATCAGCTGTGGTTATGGCGACGGGTTTATACGCAAGATAACCGCGGGTGATAGAATAAGGACAGCGATTACACGTTCATATACGACCAAGCGAGGTATATCGGACACCGATAGTACCTATATATCGTATGGCATCGCAGACAGATTGTTCACCAATTGTTCGGAGCAGGCGGATTACTCGATATCAAAGAAGCTGCGAAAGGCCGACCAGGTCCCCAAGGCAGAGTCGGGCGAAGAGATAGGCGAAGGCAGCGGATGGTGGTATGAAGGTGAGAGCAATCTATCTGTCTTGTACGGATGTCTACAGATGCCTACATATGCTAATGGGTGGATAAATGGTAGAACTCGGTCTTCTTCCTACCTTCTCGACGTGGGCCCAGGTCACTTTTCTACACATGTATCTCCTCACTGTTCGACTGCGCGGACTCCCCACGCCCGAGGCCTTCCAGGTCTACAACAGATACCTGTTCGAGCACTTCTCGCAGGCCGCCGAGCGCCGCATGGTCGAGGTGCATGCAATCACGTCCCGCACCGTGCGTGTCTCCTACCTGAAGGATCTATTCGTGCAGTGGAGAGGCGCCATAGCTGCCTACGACGAAGGTATAGTCAAGGGAGATGCCCAGCTGGCCGCTGCTGTCTGGAGGAACCTGTTCAAGGGCTTGCCCACGGACCACAAGGGCGAAGAGCTCGACTGGGCCAAGATCGCAAAGGTCGTCTTGTACATGCGCCGGTCGCTGGACAACCTTGCTGAATTCGAAACCCAGGAAGTCATATTTGCGTTCATCCAAGGGGCAGGGCCAGAGATGTTCTTCAACCCTCCTGAGCTCTCTGTATTTGCGAAGAAGGCTGAGGGCGATGAAGAGTCAAGTAGCAGCAGCCAAGCGGGTCCTCTGGGCCCCCCGAGAACGTAGCCACGCAAAAGAGCCAGTATTGTCTTCTGTAATATACATGTACAACAGCCGATCATCTTTCTTCGCTTTACTTATATCTCATCTTCGTCTTCATCCTCTTCGTCGTCGTCGTCTCTCCGGCTTTTCGTCTCTTCTAGATCGCCGTTAAACCTCCTGCTTAGCTCAGCCTGTCTAGCCAGGAACAACTTCGCATCGCCCAACCAACGAGCAAGCACGACAACAAACACCGCAGCCGGGAAGAAGCTGCCTGTTACTCCTCATTGCGCTGCTTTTTATTTATATATATACACACGGTATATATATATACTAACGGGAGAGAGAGGCTCTCGCGTCCGTTCGTATAATTACTTCGCTCGCTAGACCTTCACTACATGGCGGACTCAATTCCCCAGGTACAAATCGAGCTCCCAGGAGACGTCGAGATGGAGGAATCAACAGCCCCGACGGCAGAAGAAGACCCTTCAGCAGAAACGACCAAGGACGAAGAGAAGGATAAAGAGTCAGGGGACCAGGAGACACAGCCGCCAGCCGAACCCGAAGTCCACAGCCAGCAGGCGGTTTTCCTCAAGTATGCACAGCTCCGCTCCACAGCATAGCATTTTGCTGGTCAGCGCACTGGGATACCGGCTAATATCAGGCTAGCTATCTTACATCGCCCATAGTACAATTGGTGTTGGGCAAAGACGAAGAGCAAACAATACTCACAGCGCACCAGGCTGTCCTTGAGTCGAGTCCTTTCTTCGCTGCGAAACTCGCCCAGTGCGAGCAGACAGGCGAGGTCAGTGTACCCTCTTCTCGTCAACAGTCCTTTCCATTTAAAACCAGTTGCTGCGGCGTGAATGCCATGCTAACAGATCTGGTGCAGCGGCGCATCCACCTTGAAGACGAATTGACAGACACAGTAGCATGTTTCCTCCAATTTCAATATACAGGAGAATACTTCCCCCGTCTCCTCCCGTCGGGAAAAGACCTTGAACAAGACCCAGCGATTCCCAAGGTCGATGCAAGCGGCGAGCAGCTCCTTAAACACGCTCGTATCTACAGTCTGGCCGAAAAGCTCGGAAACGAAAAACTCAAACTGCTTGCTCAGAACAAGATTGGTAGCATCGAGAGTAGTGCTACGGGTGAGATCGAGTATGCGAGATACGTGTACAGCCATACCACGCCGGAAGACACTGCTATCAGAGGACCGGTTGCTCGCTTCTGGGCTAAGATGAGTGATGTGCTGCGTCATGATGCTGAAGAGCAGTTCAAGGCATTGTGTCTTGAGCATCCCCAGTTCAGTTTCGATTTGCTTAATCGGGTGTTGGACATGAAGGAGAAGAGGGCCAGGGAGCGTGATAACACCAGTAGCCCGGCATTCAAGGGCCCAGCGAGAAAGAGGTCTAGAGCTTTCTAGGCTGGTTGTACGAGTAGTTGCTTTTCTTATTGTTATTATTCGCGGTGGGCAAAGTGGCCTTTATTCCTACTATGTAATATCAATAAATAGGGCTGTGGTCGGTTCTTTTTTGGTAGCAAATCAACTGGGTAGATCATAAATATGTACATGCTCCTGCGTGTGTCCGACCACTCGGTGTACTGAATAAAAACATAATTATTTAGCACCCTCCTGGACAATGCGTTCGACCTCCTCGGGCTCCTTTGGCACCGTGGTCAGGTTCTCAAAGCCATTGGCGCGGACGACGACGTTGTCCTCGATACGTACACCTCCAACAGCCCAGTACTTGTCTAGAACTTCGGAGTTGATGTACTTGCTGGTCTCGGGGTTAGTAAGGAATGGCTCAATGATGTAACGGCAGAAGTAGACCTAGAGCAAGGGTTAGTAAATGTATGTGAAACATTCGGCGGAGCAACTACTCGATTCAACACTTACACCGGGCTCAATTGTAATGACGGATCCCTCTGGAACAGTGCCTCGCAGACGCAAGTATTTAAACATGCGATTCGGGTCAGCCGGGTTAGGGTTTCCTCCAACATCGTGAGTGTCCATGCCGAGATGGTGGCCTAGACCATGTGGGAAAAAGGCAGTGCTGATTCCCTTATCGAAAATCTCATCCTCAGAGCCAGTGAGAATGCCAATCTTGAGCAGCCCCTTGATCGCAACCCGGTGGACCGCAGCATGCATGTCGTCGAACAAAACATTAGGTTTGATCATGCCAAACGCGACTTTCTGCATCTCCAAGGCAATATCATAGATCTGGCGGCCCTCCGTGGTGAATTTGCCGGACAAGGGGAATGCACGAGTGATATCTGCACAGTACGCCTTGTACTGGCATCCAGCGTCGATAAGTACGAGCTGGTCCTTAATCCCGGTAGCCGGGTTAGTTAGGTCACCGTTGTTCTTGGTGTAGTGGAGAGTGGCAGCATTGGGGCCACATGCAAGAATTGGATGGTAAGACTGGTCGGAGCAGCCATTAGACATGCAGACATAGTTGAGAGTAGCATAGAGCTCTCTCTCGTTCTTTGACTTGGTTGCGGCTTTCATCACTTCAATATGAGCTTGGCTGGAGACCTCATTAGCACGTCGGAGAAGACCAATTTCATACTCGTCTTTCACTATACGGCAGGACTCGATGGCAAGCTTCAGGGCATCGGTGTCGTTGTGCTTGAAGGATGAGAAGGAGACCTCCGGGCAAACTCTGTCTGCAATGGTGAAGACCTTCTCGCCCCCACACTTCGCGAGATAGTTGTTTATCTCAGTTGTGAGGAGCACGGCATCAACATCGAACTGCTTCAAGGCTTCGGCGGGCTCAAGAGGGAGGCCGGACCACATAACCGAGGCTGGGTCGACTGGTGGAATGAACAATGTAAGCTCATCTTTCTCGATGTTGTATGCAACGGAGCACTCGGCCTCAAGACAGCCGGACAGATAGAGGAAGTTTCGGCGTTGACTATCACACCCTTTTGTTAGCTTATTCCGCCCAGTCGAGTGTATTCCCACGGCTCACCGGAAGTGAAACGGCTCGTCGCTATCATCGATAATATGCTCCTTTTGGCCTTCGACGAAGATGATGCCGGTAGAGCCGTGCCCCGCGGCCTTGAGCTTCTCGGCGACGCGCCTGGCGTGACTCTTAGCCGGGTATTTGTCGACGTGGATATCCATGATGGCCGAGTTCGGCTGATATAGGGCAAGAAAAGGTTGGACGATGCGTAGACAAGATGGGTAGAAGACGGCAACGGGTTAAATTGTTGATGTGTTATTGTTTTGCCTCGTCTTCCCCGTCTGTCTTCATTTCGGTCGTATTGATGCTGGGAGAAAACGCGGGGCTAGGGATGGCTAACGGCGGGTTCGATTACATAACAGCGGATGTTTGTTGGTTATCATAGAGAGGGCGAAATGAAGAGTTGGACGGGACGAAGGGCGTGAGACGGTGAAGAGGTGAGGTTGATGACAGTCAAGAGGATGCATGAGCGATGTTGAGAACCGCTGTGGTTAGTTATGGGGCGCTGGTTTTCTAGTACACCTCGCCGTCGTCGTCAAGGACCTCTTCAAAGTCGATGGACCATTCATCAATCTCAGCAAACTTCTTCTTCTGAAGCAGCAACTCCTCGCTCATAACGGGAGCTATTATCTCTCGCTCTGGCGATATCTCAGTCTCCTCATCGAGCTGATTCTCCTTATCCCAGTCTGCATCGCCGCCCGTCGTACTGAGGCGGGAGTAGGTCTTCTTTGGCGTTGAACTCTTCCTTGGTTGAGACGATACCGTAGCAGCTTTACTGCGTCCTCTCCTGAGCTGCGAGGTATTCTGAGCTTTTTCTCGTAGCTTGAATCGGGCTTGGTCTTGCTGTGATCGCTTTGTGTTCCTCTGCCGGCCTGCGGATGTGTCCTCTTGTTGCCCTCCGGTATAGTTGAGCTCATCCTCTGAACCTGGAGCTGAGAGCACATAGTCCTTACCTCCAGCACGAAAACTCTTGTTCCTCTTACTAGCTAGGCCTTTACCTCGTCGATGCCGTCGTGGCAGTAAGGCATCTTGCAATGAGGTCGTAGACAAATGGGTAGGTTTTGAAAACTGAGGGCTTGGTTTCTGGTTTGCAGTACTCTCTGGAGTCGAAGCAGGAGGTGTAATGGATCCCACACTACTTTCTGGCGGTGCCATAGTTATTGTCTGCCGCCTGCGTTGTGGTGTTGTCTCTATGGCGAAATTCATGGGGGGTAGAGAGTCCACCGATCTAACAGATGACCTACCGTCGCCATTGTCATCCACATCTGCAGCTACATGTATCTCGGACAGAGCTTCATCAAGGGCGGGTTCCTGCTCTTGAGGATTGTCGATGACCTCTGGCTCTTCTGGCGCTTCATCAACTTGTTGGTCACCCAAAGCTTGCACAAGAGCAGGCGGCTCATCCGAAATTCTGTTGTCTGAGGCAAGATCGTGCCGTACAGGGACTTCAACAAACAACTCTGGTAATTTTGGCGTCTTCTTGGTAACTGTGGGAGTCATATCGGCCTGGTTTAGTGACTTTCTCCTCTTTGCTGGAAGTGGTGTAGATACGTCCTCCGGATCAAAGCTGCCTAACAGGTCATCAGAGCCCAATTCCGATGATCCAAGATCCAAGGAGTCGTCCCCCACAAGTTGTAATATACTCGGCTGCCTTGGACGCGGACGGAATGCATTTAATATTGAGCTCTCGAAGGCAGGTGTGTGCCCTCTTGGGTTCATATCTCTTCTCGCGCTACCCGGGAATCCTTGCAATCTCAACGATGTTCCCATACCAACACCACCAGATAAAGGTGCATTTACCTGCTGACGGTCTCTGACAGGAGTTTGGCTACCAAATGAGTCTCGTTCCCGCTCTCTCCGCACCAACCCCGAGCTCTCATCTTGTATTTCATCGCTTCGCCCCTCCACATCCGAACTACTAGCATCTTGCCTAGAGGTGACTCTAGATTTTGGTACCGACTTCGCGCTCGTGGTAGGCTCTTCGGACTCTCCTCCAGAGACCTTTCGCTTGGGTCTTCCCCTCGTCGCCTTTGCTTTAGCAGTTTGTGCAGGAGGCTGATTGCTGCGGGTAACTCGGGCTCGTTTCGCCGCTGGACGAGGCATTTTTGTAAAGTATAGTAGCTTTTATAGCTACAGACCGTCTCTTCCTGGCTTCTATACAAGCCAACTAGAGGATTTCAGGGTATTCTGATTCTTTATGAGCTGTTAAACGCGATGGTTAAGTTTAAAATGTCGAAGTTGACGCGCCGCTTGTTTTGGTTTGGTCCAAAAGAGTTTAGCGCCGGGAAGTGCAGATAAGCTCTTTGATATCAGCAGCAATGCATAGAACAATCCATATTTACATCACGGAGAAATATCAAGTACAGATACCAAAGGATGATACTAATTCGAGATAGCAGGGTATGATTCTACCCCGCTTACGTTGCCTGGGGAGGTAGAACCACCCGCTCTAAACTGCTGTCTACAACTGGTAATATCTGTGCGATATGGTTTGGGTCCCTCATCATCGCTGGGACGTCCTTGCGTGAGCCTCCGATCATCTATACACATGTTCAGTATGGCATTTCTCTCGCAGTGTCTACAAGGAGCGTGAAACTTACTTCTTTGACTTTATCATATCCTTCCTCCTTTGCAAGGTACTCCCGCATTACCTCACCTGTGTCAAAATCCACGAACACGCGGGTGTCTCGTAACCGGAAAAGAACGTTATCTAATCGCATAAACATTCTAGTAAGCAGGAGAAGGCATGTCGGCATAACGCGAATCTTGCATGATAGCATAGTGATTCCGTTATCCGCTAACTCATCCTCATAGAGCATGATCTCGTCGTAGAACAGAATTGGATCTGGTTGCTTAAGTCTCTCTATTGGGAGGGAAGTGGATGATTGCTCAAATTCATGACCTTTAGGTGTGACTGTTCCCTTATAGTCTGTGGTATATGACCAGTCAAAAGGCTTAACCACCTCCTTTATACCCTCATGCGCTGATTCTCTGTACCAGGTATTAGCCCTAAAATAACATACATTTAAAAAACTACTTCTAGATATTGCACACCTGCTTTTCTGCCACTCGCTTGAGTATGATACTTTGAGCATAGAGGCTCCTGTTTTGTCCACACGGTCCAGAGCATCAAAAGCATTGAAATTGATACCCCACCCTGACGGTATATGCTCGATTGAGACTAAGTTATCTCCAAATATCATCTCGGGAGGCGCAATCCCCAGCTTATTCGTCATCTCATCAATTGGGCCAGCTTTAAGAATTGGCAGTTTCTTGGTGGTTATCCTGAAGCCCTTTCTTGTTATCGAGCTTGGTGGTGTAGCTTCTGGCGAGGGGAAGCTCGACTGTGTTCCATTCGAGGCAGCCATGGTAGCCGATCTAATTTTCTTGATGACTGTTTAAGATCGATCTTAGACTTTTGAACGCAATGACAAGAGAGACCTAGAAGGGGAAAAAAAAAATATAAACAGGAGCGCCTTCCAGTTGTATTTGTATCCAAGTTGTTCCTGCCCTTTGCCCTTTTTGAAATATATCACGTGGACAGTTGATGTCGAGCTTAGGTAAGCCGGAAGTAAACGGGCCGATGGTTGCTGTGGCAACGCCGACGCCGGCGGTGGTTGTAAATAGAAAATGGAACCATGAGCAAACTTGAACGAGTTTCTCATTCTTTAACCACAGAAAATAACTCTATTCTCTCTTGTTCCTTGCCTCATCTTTCATATTTAGGATTGTACAATTCGTTACAACGGCACCCAATAACTCAACTGCCCTTCCCGCTCAAGATGTCTACGAAGACCCTAGAAGCTCGCTTTGAGCGGTTGGATGTGAACGATGAAAACGAACCGCCAGCCAACCATCACATCAAGGCAAAGGTATAGCCTGTCTCAGTAACATTGCAGTGCAATAGGGAGCTAATAAGTCATAGGGAGTGCCATCAAAATGTGGCCCAGCTCCAGCCGCTCATGGGAATCCCACGTCTAACAGGCCAAACCTCTTAAAGCTAGCGCTGCAAAACAATAACGAGTCCAAATCACATAGAAGCCCTCTGGAAGAGGAATCTTCTAATTCATTGCGCATGAATGACTCGGCCGGAAACCCTAAAAAATTCCACCTCGGCATGTTCGAGATTGGCAAACCACTCGGCAAAGGAAAGTTCGGAAGAGTATACCTTGCCCGTGAGAGATCAACTGGCTTCGTATGTGCATTGAAAGTGCTGCATAAGAGCGAGCTTGTCCATGGACATGTTGAGAAACAGCTTAGACGTGAGATTGAGATCCAAAGCAACCTACGACACCCCAACATCCTGAGATTATATGGTCATTTCCATGACAGCAAGCGAGTATTCCTGATCCTTGAGTTCGCCGGTAAGGGTGAACTATACAAACACCTTCGAAAGGAAAACCGCTTCCCTGAATGGAAAGCAGCCCAGTACATTGCCCAGATGGCAGCTGCGCTGAAGTACTTGCACAAGAAGCATGTCATGCACCGTGACATCAAGCCAGAGAATATCCTTGTTGGCATCCACGGAGAGATCAAGATTAGTGATTTCGGCTGGAGTGTACATGCCCCCAACAATCGAAGACAGACGATGTGTGGTACTCTCGACTATCTCCCTCCAGAGATGCTCAAGCCAGGCAACGGTGATAAGTGGTATGATGAGAAGGTCGACCTGTGGAGTTTGGGTGTCCTTATATATGAGTTCCTTGTTGGTGAAGCTCCCTTTGAAGACTCCCCAGTCATGACCCACAGGAGGATTGTACGAGGAGAGATGACCATCCCATCTTTCGTGAGCCCAGAAGCCAGAGACCTTATCAAAAAGGTAAGTCCCTTAACTGTACTGATATGTCCAGCCCCGATATAGAATCACTAACATTTGTTTCGTTAGCTTCTCGTTCTTGACCCCGCTAGCCGAATCCCGCTCGATGAAGTTCAACGGCACCCATGGATCTTGAAGTACTGTGTCAAGGGCGAGAGAGTGGCGCAGAGAGAGGCTGCCGCCAGCAAGAGCAGAGTGAAATAAATGAAGCAGAATTAAGGAGGGGTATTTTCAAAGTCTATCTATTATTACAGCGTCATTGTTTGAGCGTTCCTGTTTGCTTGTGCATTTAATTTTCTTTCTTTGCGTTCCCGAAATATCTGGTGTTATCGGTATATTTCGTCAAATGGTCGTGTATCTCGGAAGCAGCTTTCCCATACTTCATCTACTACTCTCAAAGCTTGTTCCTTGCTTTTGCATGTCGGTCTCGCCTGTACGGACATGATGGCTCTTCGTCTCACACATTCCTGGTGATGGTTAGCCAATTTAAATTCAAATCTTCCAAAGAATTCGTTGGCCCATCTGCACTCTCCGCTCAAGGAACTGGCTCGTATCTAGTAAGGTGTTAACCACTATCAATTGACATTCCTCTCTCTTAGCAGGAGTAGCATACCTCCGCACAAGCTGCATGCCTCAAGTTGTCAGTCCAGTCGAGCTTGAACCGCAAGTGGTCGTAGGCATGTACCATCTCATGAGCCAAGGTATCCTCAAGCTGGCTTTGGCTGTTCATGGCATTCGCGCATATCTGAATTCCGTACTCTGGATCAAACCCTCCACCTTGCCGAGCCGTACATCTCCGACAATATATATTCTTCGACGATATATCGCCTCCAAGCTGTCTGATGTTGTCTTGAAGGAACCGTATAACCGGGCCTATACGACAGAAGAACCATATCAGTAATAGATCAAGTAAGACCGGCGATGAAGGCGTAGGTGGACTCATACTATAATTCAGCAGATAATCTCTCTGTGACTCGCACCGCCTGCAATCCGATTCTTCATTTCGAAGGTCTCTCGCGAGTCTGAACTGCTCAACACCCTCGGGCGTCATCTTTCCTGTAACCCCGGCGTAGATGTTGCGAAAGTGAGTAAGGATATCGTCCCCGGGTTTGAACCCAGTAGACTTCTGCCCCTTATCCGAGGCATCGCTGCTCGTCGTCTGCGATTCTGCCATTGTTTCCTACTTCTGCCTCTGCTTCTTCTTCTCTGCCTCTTCTTTCTCTCCTTCCAAAATCTCCCGTCCAGAACTTCGATAGCCCGGTGATTACATAACGAGACGGATTAATTATATTCCTTTTCTCTCCTCTGATTGGCTGAAAGCGGAACTTTTGGCTTCGGAGTTTTTTGGCCCCGGCATTTTATTTTTCTTGTCTTTGATTGGTTGGATGTTCGTCATTCTGGCCCTTTTTTTCAGCAAAGGCTGGATCAACGGCAGGAGAGAATCTCGAAACGCCTCTCCTCATCCTGGCCTAAAAGAGCACTGGAGGGCTAGCAAACCAGGGTTAATGGGCCAGAGGAAGGAAACGTGTTATAAAAGTCCATAAATATTCTTCTTGCTCTAAGAAAAGTTCTTGTAAAGTTTAACCCGGCTACTTTCGGCTGGTTCCCTTGGTCCCATCAGGAGGCAAACATCTCTCTGTCTTATTTCCAAAGGTACCAACAATATTTTCTTTGCGCAGAACTATTCCCAAATTCTGAAACAACATCTCTGTTAGAAGATAACGGATTTTTGACTGATTGATACTCTTGCGACCTATTCAGACTACGACTATCAGCAGCCATGGCGCAGTCTCAGAAGAGAACCCCTCCTTCGGTGATGGAGACCGTCACCGAACAGATCGGCAACACCCCTCTTGTTCGACTCAACAAGCTCCCTAAAAGCCTGGGTATAGAGGCAACAGTTTATGCGAAGCTGGAATTTTTCAATGCGGGCGGCAGTGTCAAGGACCGCATTGCCCTGCGCATGATCGAGGAGGCTGAGCGCTCAGGAAGGATAAAGCCAGGCGACACATTGATTGAACCGACCAGCGGCAACACGTATGTAACGTACCCTATTATACAGAGAACCATGCAGGATGCACAAGTGGCAGAACCTGGCTTGCTTTTGAGTTGTGATCTAACGGTCGGTGATTTTTAGAGGAATCGGATTGGCCCTTGTTGCAGCTGTCAAAGGTTTGGCTTCAATCCTTGCCCTTACAACATGAACACCCTTGCTGATGATATATTTCCCCTTTTTAGGATATAAGGCGATCATTACTTTGCCCGAGAAGATGTCTGCAGAGAAAGTTGCTGTGCTTCGTGCCCTGAATGCCACCATCATCCGTACCCCTAACGAGGCTGCCTTCGACTCTCCTGAATCCCACATCGGAGTAGCCAAGCGTCTGGAGAAGGAGCTGCCTAATGCACACATCCTAGATCAGTACGGCAACGAGAATAACCCTCTTGCACATGAGTTTGGAACCGCAGAAGAGATTTGGACTCAGACGGATGGTAAGGTCAATGTAGTGATTGCTGGCGCTGGTACTGGTGGCACAATCACCGGTATCGCCCGTGGCCTGAAGAAGCACAATTCTTCCGTCAAGGTTATTGCAACTGACCCCCACGGATCCATTCTTGCTGTTCCTGAGCCTCTTAACCAGGAGCACCTCAATGAGCCTTACAAGGTTGAGGGTATTGGATATGACTTTATTCCCGATGTCCTTGACAGGGAAATTGTTGACAAGTGGTACAAGACTGGAGACAGAGAGTCATTCAAGTACGCTCGACAGCTCATTGCTGAGGAAGGCTTACTCGTTGGTGGTAGCAGTGGAAGTGCTATTGATGGTCTAGCTCAAGCAGCAAGGGACGGCCAGATTGGCAAGGATGATGTTGTTGTCGTTGTTCTCCCTGATAGCATCCGAAGCTACTTGACCAAGGTATGTCCAGTCTCTGTACCATTATACTAACAATTCTGGGTACTAACCTTTTGCTTTCTCCCCATAGTTTGCTGATGATGACTGGCTCGCAGCCAACAACCTGCTACCTGCCACTGCAGAAGTGCCACACTCACCACAACTACCTCCCCAGGGACCAACTGACCAGTTCGGTGGCGCTAAGGTTAAGGCTCTTCGTCTCAAGCCTGTCACCACGGTGTCTGCCAACTCACCCTGTTCCACTGCCATCGAGACTATGAGAGATAAGGGCTTTGACCAGCTCCCAGTCCTCGCGGCTCAAAGCCGAAAGCTAGTCGGTCTTATAACTCTCGGAAACACCCTCAGCTGGATTTCCCGCGGCAGGGCTACCGGCAACAGCCCAGTCTCAGATGTCATGTTTGACTTCTCTAAGATATCCGAGATCATTACTGATCCTCGAAATTTGGGCAAAGCTCCCAAGGCCACTGACGACGACGCTGGCAAACGCAAAGAGTTCGTCGAAATAACTATGGATACTCCCCTGAGCGTCCTCAACCGTTTCTTCGAATGGAACAGCGCCGCCGTTGTGACCGAAAAGGACGAATTTGGCCACATGAAACCACTCGCTGTTGCAACCAAGGTCGACCTCCTGACTTGGCTCCTGCAGCAGAACAAGCTAAGCTAGATATTCTCTAGCTTAATCGCCTGCTAGTTTCCTTTCGATCGTTCTCGTTTCACACAATCTGGAGGTGGAGTGAGTTTAGGTCAACGTTGTCACGACATGTCTTTTTTCCCCCTTCCGTTTCATAGTTCTTCAACAGGCATGCCTTACAGGTTAGATGTTTCAACGACTGCTGCATTGTTTCTGATTGGATGTTTGTATTTAGATCTCTTTCCCTTTTTTCAACATTTAAACCGTATACACGGATGGGATAATACCATAGTAATACATCGAGTGTCTTTGTTGACGGCTGTCTTATAAGTTGTGATTTCCATATAAATCTTTCAGACAAGAAAGAGTGGTCGAAGTGGTTATAAAGCGGCAACAACACACGCACGTTTAATGGCGGGGGTAATGCATTACGGACACGTTGCCAATTACTATGGCGGCTGTGTACCGGGAGGATAAGTTGAGAAGGAGGTTTTGTGAGCGAGTACGAAATCTCATCACATGGCCTTGGTTTAAAAATGTTTGGTTCAGTCAGGTTGATGCTTTAAGGTCTTCATAATCGTTCATAGACATTGACCCATCCATTCTTCCCAGGACCGAAGGCCAGAAGTGGCATCGTCTCTGTAATCCGTTGTGACGCTTCCTCCTAGGAAATCAACCTTGACACCGGATTCCTCTTCCAGAAGCTGGAAAGTAAAAGATTGATTGCCAAAAGCATCGGTCTCATCATCACCTTCCGCATCAGGGTTGATCACACCCTTCCGTCTCGTCTCTCGGGCTGCTTCGATTTCGGCTTCTAGCTTCTCCTTCACCATGGCCGCCGGAATAGCAGCAAATAGATCCTGCTTGTTGGCTGCTACTAAGACGGGGGTGCTGCGTGCCCGAGTGGATGCTGAGAAACGATGGAGTATAATCAGAACGTCATAGAGGTATCTTGCAACATCGGCTAGTTGGCCTGCGTCCATCAAAGTACTGGCGTCGATCATGAAAATCACGCCGCGAACTTTAATCTTGGACTGTTTCTGCTTTGAAGGATCTAGCAACTGGGCAATAACTTCGAGGTCACGAAGCTTCCCATGCCCCGGAGTGTCTCTGAGAGAGAAAGTCACCCGCTGTTTGGCAGCCTGTGCCAGTGTCGGGTCATTGACAGAACGGTATTTATCTGAGCCTTTTCTAACGGCCGGATGAAGTGCTACCGAAAACGTAGAGGAGACTTGGGAAGTATGGGTTGGTCGAGGCTCGAGGTTTGGGGACGTGCGTTTTTCGAGCTACAAACAACCTGTTAGTGAAAAATGGCTGAGCAACGAGGGAAGAATAATGATGTAGCTAACTTTAGCACAGAGAGCTGTCTTTCCTGACCCGCTAGAGCCCAGTAAAATGAACTGGTCAGACTTGCTGGTGGGAGCTGTACGGTAAAGGAAGAGGTGTAAGGCCAAAGGAAGCAAGAAGGCCACAAGACAAGCGACCACAACAGCAACGGGATTTGCTGAGAGCAGGTTGGTCGCGATCTCACTCGCGGAGTTCCATTGCATCGTGGCGTTTCTATGCTCTGCTGTCCTGCGACGGTCTTCTGGAATCCACAGCTTCTGCACCTTTTTATAGAGCAGTTGGGTTCCTGCCACAAAAGGCTGTTGTCTTTACCCGGACCACACCACCTTCTGCTGAGTATAACCAAGGAGTCTGTCAGCAAGGGTTTACCATGAGCAAGTAAGAAGCCAGAAGTGCGTCAGCAGCCGTTAGAGTGGCAGCAGGGGTCCCGTTATGTCGGTCGAAGGCCTCGCACTCTGCACCTTCGGCTCTTTGCTTGTATCACAAACAAACCGCCGGGCGAAAAAGCCATATCACGTAGATTATTACTGCTTATGTCACCTTTACATAATTCATGACTAAGTCATCTTACTCATCTCTTACTCAGCCGTTCTTATCCTCTCTTATCCTGGCGTTGGCTTCGTTTCTCTCCAACACCGAAAGCCAGCAAAATATAACGACCAAAGAAACCATCGTCACATCGGCCGAAACTCCTCGTGTCCTCGTCGACTATAAATACTTAGCGCTCTGCTTCCCCCCCTCTGGGGCGCCAGGATGATGTCCTTTCTCTCTCTTTTCACCCTTGTTGCATGGTTCAGCATCGTCTCTGCTGTCGAGTTCAAAGCTCCACAGGCGCTGGCAGTGCTCGATGCCGCCTCCCCCCTTGATATCGAGTGGTCGTTCCCGGAGAATGCTACCTCGTTCCTACTAGGCACTGATTACAGTATATGGCTGTGTGCAGGAGGCAACGAAGACAACACTCATGTAAGATTGGAAAAAAAAGGACGTTTCGAGCGCTGTTAATTGATAGCTAAATGTGTTGTGAAGGAACGCGTGGCACAATTATTTAAGGGGACCATCTTGGGCAACCCGGTCCAGACCACCGCTGAGGTCGACCCTAATGCCGGAAGCGAGTACCCCAATGGCTAGTAAGTATCGAGTAATTGGGCTATGATTATAGCTGGTATGGTGCTAATTGGTTTCCAGCTTCCTTGAAGCTGTCCTCAATGGAATGCAAGGGTACTCATACCGCTTCACCCTCACTGGCATGACTGGCTCCTTCTCGCCCAATGTTGAGAAGGGCCTCCGATCGCTCCCTAAGCCGGACGAATCAGATACTGTTCGATTTCAAGCACGTCAAGTTCCAGCTCCTGGCGCTGCAGTACCCCCAGCCCCCGGCGCAGCTAACCCTCAAGCACCCGGTGCTGCCAACCCCCCAGCCCCAGCGCCAGGAGCAGGCAATCCGGCAGCGCCTGTACCACCAGGAGGCAAACCACCCGCCGGAGCACCACCTGCCGGGGCACCCCCTGCCGGAGCACCCCCAGCGGGAGTACCTCCTCCCGCTGCTGCACCTCCTGCAGGCGTACCGCCAGCAGCAGCTCCTCCACCTGCAGCAGAACCAACTATTGTCCAAACTGTACCTTACCCGGAGCAGACTGGGCTCACGAGATACGCTCCCGCACCAAAGCAACCACCGAAGAAAATAGTTAAAAGAGAACCCACACCTCAGTTTCCCCCGAGCCCATACAAAATTGCTACCACTTTCTTAGCACCGCCTACTGTTAAGACCACCGTTTCTGCTTCAGTTACCCTGACTGCGGAGGCCCATGAAAACACAGTGAGCTACCCCCCCTGAATCTAATCAACTCATAAAGCAACCACTGACTTGTGTCTTATAGCATGACCCAGTTGACGAAGACATGGCAAGATTCCTCAGGCGATGGCAAGATTGAGCTATGATCTTGGTAATATAATATAAGCTCGATAATAGCAATACCCCAATATGTATACCCTAATCATGAAAGCATAGGTTATTGGCGTTTCGAGGTAGACTTGGGACAGTCCGTGGTACAGAATATTCACTAGCCCATCTGGCATTTCTCGCAACCCTCATGAATATTCTTTCTAAACACGGATATAAGAAATGGTTAAACACCGGGCCTATAGGTATACTAGCTGGCTTTAGATGCCTACGGCAACTCTCACACCTCTTCTGTCCCTACTCGAGCAACCAGAGCTACCCGCCGTTGTTAATGTTATGATGATGATGTTGTTGAGAATACATCTAGAACTTCACCCCTATGGCAATCGTGTTCCCACCTTCTATATACAGCATTGTGCACCCAGAAAACAAAATTAGCCGGTGCTTCGTATTATTGAATGCAGCAGCACCTTTTCTCTTGCCTCCCTTTTCTTCTTTCACGTAAGTCCCAAGTCAAAACAATTTAACAAAACAGGAATAAAAAAAAAACCAAGAACCAACGGAAAAATGAACAGAGCCAATACAGCGGTGCTGGCGTGCAATAGCTACCAGACTACTGGTTGGCAGAAGCAGCAGGGATATCATTAAGGGGATTTTTGTCATTATTCGTCTCAGGAGCCGGGGAAGACAGGCTCGTTGGGGTCATGCATCGACTCGGCATTTCAAAGAAAGCCAGGTTCTCTCTGGACACAGCATACTCACTGCCAGAATATCCCAGCACAGAATGGATCTGGGTGCTCCTCAGGCCCTTGATCCGGGAAAGCTCGGCATAGCCGTAATTGATAAGCCCTCTGCCTACCTCCTTGGCTTCCTTGGGAGTACTGCAGGCCATGGGATAGTCATCGTTTAACTCGGTCTGCGATGGACGCGGCGCAACCATCACCTTGATGGCTTCCATGTATCCAAATTTGCCCTCAACTGCGATTACGCCGGATGGAAGGAGATAGCCTGTGTCTCGGATGGTGTTGTATGCCTCTTCGTCGATATAAACGCTTCCGTGAGGCTTGAGGCCATGGAGAAGCCAGAAGGACCGAGAATGCACGGGCGAGTCTGATGGGAGGAAACAGGTGTGCAACGGTGGATCGGGCTTTGTTTCTTCCACACCTAAAGCACTATCGGATGAAGTAGCGTCATTGGACGAATGGTGCTCGATAATCTCCTCGATAGTTCCGGGACGGGAACTGCGGGTAATGACAGTGGTAACGCCGGCACTTGTAGCAAGTCTTGCCGCCACTATCTTTGAGCCCATACCACCGGTACCAAGTGACGACCCAGCGGAGGACACGTCGGCTTCGAGACTTGAGATATCCTGCACAATGTCAATAACCCGAGCATCAGGATTGGTCCGCGGGTTGGCGGTGTAGAGCCCATCTACATCGGTCATAAGGAAGAGGTAGTCTGCTTCGATCATCGCTGCAGTGATAGCGGAAAGTGTATCATTGTCGCCAAACTTGATTTCCTATTGGATTGAAACCTCTGGTCAGCAACCAAAATCTCAACATGAGATAACGAAACAGATGGGTGGCTGGTTTGCACATACCGATACAGTCAGGGTATCATTCTCATTGACGATTGGGATAACACCCATGCTAAGAAGCTGAGCAAGTGTATTTTGCGCATTTACATATTGAGTTCGCTATAATAACTTGTTAGCCGATTGTTTTATCTTATTTTCCTGGTTTGGCCGAACTTACATCAACAATATCATTCCGCGTGATAAGGATCTGGGCAATGGGCTGACGCAAGTGGCTAAACAAGCTGTCCCAGGTACTCATGAGCTGGCATTGACCGACTGCCGCCAAAGCCTGGAACGGTTGTGTCAATTGGAAGGCTATCCAGAGAAAGGATGTGGAGCATACCTGAATCGAAGGGAGATGCTTTGGTCTCTCAGCAACGTCCATGCGTCGCATACCAACGCCTACAGCGCCCGACGAGACGATGATAACATCATGGCCGTCTTTTCGCAGCTTCACCGCTGCTTCGACGATGAGTGTCAGGTTTGACAAGATCGGCTCGTGGGACTTCTCGTCCACAATGGAGCTCGTCCCTATTGTCGACACGGTTAGTCATCCAGTCAGGACATACGGTCAGCATCAACCTACCAAGCTTTATCACGACCTTCAACGACTTTGAGCCCGCCATCTTTAACTCCGTAATGTCTGATCTAATGCAGTACGAGCTGGGAGATATCCATGGGTATGACGAAATGCGGGATAAATGGGCCTCTACTCAGCGAGCAGAAAAAAAAAGGGGAAGAAAAGAAGAGAAGAGAAGAAAACGCGCGACTGTGAGTGTCAAAGCCCCTTCGACACCGTCATCTGCTATATCAAATCTATCCTGGCCTGCAGCGCTGTTGAGGCAAAGGAGAAGCCAGAGTGAAATGTCCTTTATATAAATATCTCTTCGCCGAGTTTCCCTTTTGGGGCGGGAGATGTTCTGCCGCCACTTATGTAAGCGGGGCAAAGTCATGTGGGTCCCGAAGGCTCTTTTTTGCTTTTTTCTTTCTTTCTATTTTTTTTTTTTTTTTTTTTTTTCGATTCTATTTTTGCATGTGGAAATGAAAACCAACGACGTTCAAGCTAGATGTCGAGAGTAGTTGACCTGCTCGCTGGACTTACACCAAACCGTCGTCATGCGTACATCGAGGGCCTCGGAGAGGGGACACAGGGACCGCACTTGCCGTGCTAAGTTTTGCCGTCATACACTGATATCGTCACCACTCCGGGGGCGACCGTCGCTGGAAGAAAGAAATTCCCGCTGCTGAGGCTAATAGGCTTTGGAGCCGCCCAAACCATCGACCCCATGGAGTTGCTGAGCTGAGCGGACCTTCACCGAGCAAGACAGAGGGCGGAGACCAAGGCTCCAAGGGGAGCAAAGCAGATTGCTCTGTGCCTGCAAGTGGAGTCCCGTTGTGCCAAAACACGGTACGTTTTGGAAGGATATAACTCGAAGGATCGTGTTTGCCCTTTGACCGCCTGAGATGGACAGACATGGGAACAAAATGATGGGGGGATGGGATTGTTGGATGATGCCCGTATCCAGTTTATAAGGTCTGGTATTGATGTGCGTATTGGTAGAGCCGGCTGTAGGAGAGGACCGAGTATGGATAATATATATCAAACCGTTGTATACTGACGTCAATTTGCATCACTATTTGCCGCGGCTGATTCTGCAGACGAGATGAGGGATATACTTAATACAACAAGTTCTCCGTGCAGGCCGGGGTCAGGGGTCGAATTAAAGCCTTCGTGGGCTGATAGCCTGACAAGAGGACTATCACTGAAGATCCCCAGGGGTATCTAAACATCCAAGTAACAGCGCTTGCACAAGAGAACGTAGAATAAAAAAAATCATTAGAGACAATAGAACAGTGAAGGAAAAAAAAAATATTATTACTGTAACAGGTAAAAGTACCATCTCTAAAATATCGCAAGCTAGTTTATCTGTAGTATACATTGTTATTAAAACAAAACCATCCATCATAACTCAGAATATCATGCTGCTATGCAGTGCGGGTACTTTCAGACGCTTTCCAGATTGACATCACTGGTAAGATAAATAGGTATAACACAAAAGAAAGGTGCGACAAAGGAAAAAGCAAAAGGAAAAGGATAATAAGAAAAATATGAATCCCTTTACAAAGGAGATGGATGGTCAACAAACCAAATATTTGAAAAAAAGTAGGGAGAACTCCTGGCTTTGCCTTGCCTTGCCCAAAGTAAAACGCCTTTCCCGTATTTGTCCCCGTTGGTAACCCCTGGCTTTCTCATCGCACAACTGGTGCGAAGAATTGTCGGAAAAAAAGGAAACACAAAAAAAGAATAAAAGAAACCGTTGGAATTATTGGTTTTCAGTATGAAAGTGACGGAGGTGTCTGTTTCCATCATATTTAGACGTCCATCATTTCGGCGTCCTCGTTAAGTACCTCGTCAGCCGGTCCCCAGTTCCCTTCGAAGATCGTGGCGCCCGCTCGACGTCTCTGTTCGGCCCATTGCACCCCAAAGGACTGAAGAATTTCGTCAGCCACAGGACGGTCTGGAGGGTTAGGGGATATCATCCATCCAACTAGTTTATCAAGAGCTTGGTCGTTATCTGCATCAACCATAAACGCTGGTGGCTCTGCAAGTTCCCCACTGCGGGCACTAGGGGTGCCCTTTGGCTGAGCCGGTCGGAAGTAGTTGGAAGAGATATCCTCTGAGGGGCAGTCTTTGTCGAAATCGTCAAATGAAGACAGGTTTCCAATCGAAGATTCAACTAATGGATTGCCCGAAGCATCACGGAGGATGTTGCTGCTTTCTCCGCTCCAAGTCAGGCTTGGAACATCACTCATGTCCCCGTTTCGGAGCTTCTGCCACGAGACTCCATTATCTGGGAGTTCAACATTGCCTGCAATTTCAAACATGATCAATCCGAGAGCGAAAATATCTGCAGGCTTGTCGTATCGGCCCATCAGTACTTCTGGCCCAATATACTCTCTGTCCCCTTCACCCTCGATTCCAGCAGCAGCAGGCCAACGAGTAGCAAGGCCAAAGTCTGCAATCTTCAGTACCCCTTCGAAGGTGATGAGAATATTTGCTGGTTTCAAATCCAAGTGAATAAAACCTGTATCGTGAATATGTTTCAGGCCCTAAAAGGAGTTAGTTAATTCTCATGTGTATATAACGAGTATAGACAAACTTACATGTGCCAATTCTAGTAGGATCTTCCATATCCTAAAGTCGTCAAGCCTAGCTTTTAGGCCTACCTGAGAGAGAAATACATCAAGACTACCTTCCTCGCAGAACTCGGTCTGGATATAGAGGTATCCTTTATCCTCCCAGCTATCAATATAGCTGATTATATGATCAGAGCCATGGAGTGCCTTGAGAGCGACGACTTCATTATTTCGTCTTTCTCGGTCCTTGGATCCAGCATATGGCTGTTTTGATTTCTTGACAGCCCATAACTTTCGGCTGCCGGTGTTGGTAGGGGTCGAGTTAGATGAGAGAGGCGTCTGAGACTGGAAGAGTTGACTTGATGGTGGAGAAACACGCTCTGAGACTGAGTAGACGAGGGAAAATTCACCCGTACCAATGAGCTCCACTTTGTCAAAGCGTGAGTTTAGGCACGGGTCAATATCAGGGGAATTATAGCCGCCAAGAGGGAAGCTAGTTCGTTTCCCGAGATTTGGAAACGATTCACGGGGAGCAGTGGGAGTTGCGGGTAGAGCTGAGGCATTTGCCTCTACAAGACTGAAGGTGTGGTCATCAGGAGCTGTGATCGAAAGACTACTGGCATCGGGAGTCAAAGTATGATCCCGTGGTGTTCTAGGAGGCCCGGTCTCTGGCGTTTTACAGTAGAACGGGCTCGCTGAAATAACGATCTATTAGTATATAATGTAAAATTGAATGCGATATCAAAAAAGAAACCAAAAGGAGCGGAGGGAGAGGGGTCTATCTTACAAAATAAACCAGATTCGCCTCTGTTGGCATCGAAGTTGGGTTGGCTTGCAGCTTGGACTTGGAATGGGGCGGAGTTGGAGACGTGTTGAGGGAAGAGGCCTCGCCTGGTGGGTGTGGGAGGAAGATCTGAGTCTATGGCACATTGGCTATCAAACGGGGCTGATGGTGACCGTGGAATAGAGCTAATATCACCATCGATACTAGCCAGGCTCCCACGGCGAGAGCAAGTTGAAACGACGCGGGAAGAGGGAGCCTTGACACGATGAGTGAAGGGAGTCTCGAAGGAGCTGGAAGACTTGTGGTAAGGAAGAAATTTTGCGCTGTTGGCTTGGTGCAGAGGCTTGGGTCCAAAAAGTACATTTGATGCACGCTTGCAAGGAGTCTCGGGCATGTTGTGGCTCATAGTCGAGCTGTTACGGAAGTCCGAAACATTCTTGTTCTTCTTCGAAATCAGACCGGTGGACATGAAAGCCGCAGGCAATGGTTTCACAAGCTTGTAGTTTTCCGGTGTGGAAAAGGGAGAAGCAGAGGCATTGGAAGATTCCTGTCGCAGAAGACTGGGAGCCCTTGGTGCTACAGCACCAATTGGAAGAGACTTGGAAAAGTTAAGGATGGGTTTGGCTTCCGAGATATTTGAGCTTAGAGCTCTGTTGGTGGGAGAGTCATCCCCGACGCTTGAGCTGGATGAGGATTGCGTAATAGTGCGAGAGAGAGGATGGGTAGGAGGGTGGAAAGTAGATGATGAAGGAGCTGTGAAAAGAGACGTAGATGGATTCGGAGATGGAGAAGAGTCTGGTCCATTGAGGGGAAGAAAAGTCGAATTGTCGATTGTCATGCGATTCTTGTTCTGTAGCTGAAACGATCCATCATTATCCGCGCTTATCTTCCGAACAAAGAGAGACCGCTCCGGATGTCGTTGCTGGATGGTAGATCGCCTCAACGAGGAAGAACGCTTTGGTATGGTGGAAAAGTAGTGGCCCGGTGGTTGAAGCCGAGGTTCCTTTGGGTTCGAGTTGTTTAGGGGAGAATTGACTGCTGAGTAGCTGGACTCGAAGACGTCAAAGTCGGCACCAAAGCTGACACCATGCAAGCTTCTACGCTTGGCGGAGGGACTCTCAGCACCGAGGGAATCCATCGTCATGTTGACATCTGCCCGTTTTAAGGGGCTAGAGGAGAGTGGTGTCGTTGACTCCATATTCCCACTTCGACGTTTTTCCCGTCCGGCGGTAGAGGTATCTTCTGAATGTTGCTCGATGGGAGAGGATAGAATGAGGGGGCTCTCCTGGCCGCCTCTGAAGAGCACTGGGCTCGGCGGCGTGGTAGAGACCTTTTCATCCATGGTGTCGATGGTGGGAAGTTCTGGAGAAGCCGCCGAGTTTCCGTTATCTCTAGACTCACCCAGGACCCGTTTGGCTGAACTGGAGGAGCTACTAGTCTTGGAAGAATGCATGAAACGACTCCGGCGCATAGGAGGACGATGGATTTTTGCACTGGGAGGGAACGGGATAGCCACCGGAGACGGAGTGTTTGGGTTAGGAACGAAAAGAATCTTGCCGTGGGAGGTCTGTTTAGAAGGTGAGAGGTTGGACGAAGTGAAGTTTGGGTGCCTGGTTGCCGGCGAGTTGAACGTAGATGGAGAGAGCAACCTGAAGTCGGTTGTCTTGGACGGACTCCTCGATAGCGAGCGTCGAAGTTGACTCAGGGCCGAGTTCTTGTGTGTGGCATGGAAGCTGCTGGAGGAGAGGTGCAGGGTGCCTCCAGCATCACGGTGAGGAGAGAACGAGGCCACCATTGCTCCAGGCCGATAGCTGCAAGTGAAGTGAATGCTGGCTCTCTCAATCACTCACTTTCTTTCACTCTAGCAGGATTTCTGGGCGGCTTGGTAGTAGGTGAGCCTTGTCTTGAGGCCACACAGGGAGAAATAACAAGGCTTCCTTATCGCGCCTGGTGTAAATCTTCTCCCTCTCCGCGCGTCACAGACAGGTGATCTTTATTGATAACAGATCACAGTGAAGAGTCTCACAGTTCGTGTTGAAAGTAAAGAAAAAGAGGTTGTTATTCACAGGTGGCTTGCGAGTTGCCAGCTGACAGGCAGACAGACAGCGAGAGACAGGCCTAGGGTGCCAGTGTAACTTCCATCAGCAGCGCCTATGTATCAACTCCAGCGCGCGAGTCAGCACCGATACTCATGCTCGACAAGACGTCTCTGCTGGCCACTTTATCAAGGCTGAGCGAGTGTAAGGCGACCCGGCTGATGAAATTTGACTTGCTGGCGGCCGATCGCGACAGACGTGGTGCTGAGTTGGCTGGCGGGAGACCGGGCCGAGTCGTTAACCACGCTGTCAGAAGGAGGTTTTGAAGGAGCGACAACAAAAAAAAAAGGGGGGGAATCCGAGTCGCAGGCTAACGCGATGCCAGATACCAGCAGCTGAATTAACGGGCTCTATTCTGGTGTTGTGGTGCTTGATGGCTGTCGCTGGGCGTGTCGTGTCGTGGTGGCGGTTCGAGGGACGCAGCGGAGGTTTGGCGATGTTGTTTGATTGTGGTTGATTTGACGACGTTGAAGTTCGAAAGATAAAGAAAAAAGCCTTTTTTTTTTTTTTTTTCTCTCACGCGATTCTACGCGTTGTTGTTATGATTTCCTGGTTGGGTTTAGCGTAACCAATCTCGTGAGGGAAGATGATGAGTCAGCAGGACTAGCCCGCTTTGGGAAAAACGACAACAAACAAGACAAACCAGACAAACAAACAAAAACTGATAAGATAAGATGAGATTAGATGAGATTAGATGGAAGGGACGAGGCGGCGGAAGACAGCGACAGCAGGATAAAAGCAAGAGAGTCTCAAGGAGAAGTAGGAAAAGACGAAGATAGGGTCTATCAATAAACTAAATCGACACAGTCTATATATATATATATATATATATGTAAATGGAGTACAAGTATGTTCTGTGGAGGGCGCTAACTCTATTTACATGAATAACCGTGGGTGCAACGCCGTACCTGCATTCTTTATATAGCGCACCACCGCAGCATAGAGGACGACGGATGGCCAACGCCCTGCATCAACCGACCCCTCGATGAAGCAGGCAGCGTCTCACCTGGCGCTGGATGCCTGCAGAGCAAGGAGCTCGCGCCGAACTCCGTCTAGCAACCCCAAAGCCTTGTCGCTGCTGGGGCCAAACACCCCGACATCCAGCGTGTTGTTTCTAACCGCTGCCTCGATATCCACGGACGGCTGTGGAGATGGCATGCTATTAGCCTCCTGCTTTTCAGGGGAATCCTGGGATAATTGGGGCTTACCTTGTAGACATCTCCCGCGTTCTCCAATCCAACTCCACTCTCTATTCCAAGCATCTCTTCCAGCCAAAGCTTGCTGCTGCTCTTTGCCGCCGCATCCACTTGCTCGCTGCCGTTGCTGTTGCAGCTTTCCTTGCTCTGCCACTCGAGAACCTCTTCCTCTGTGACCTGAACTAGTTGCGGGGCACCGCTCGTCGCTGTTGATACCTGTGCCGCCACCTCCGGTAACTTGATAAAGTTCACTGTTGTGTCGAGCCTGATTCCTGTCCACTCCGCTATCTGGGCTAGTGACACAGTGCAGTTCTCGGCAGAACTGATTTCATGCAGGTCACTCTGGATTTTGCGCGCTATCTCGAACACGGAGCGAGATCCTGGATCTTGGATGTGGAGTGGTACAATGTTCAGTGTTGGCGCCACAAGCTCTGGAAGGCCCACCAGGTCGTGGGAGCGGTTGGCCAGATACACACCAACCGTCAAGTCTGCGCCTCGGACATGGAACTCTCTCACATGTACCTTGGAGTAGGCTGCCAGGAACACGGCCTGCACTGATAATCCTTCTGTCTGGCAGACCTTGTTCAGCCAGTCTGTATTGCCCAGGAGAGCTGGCTGGTACTTTCCTGCCCCGGGTTGGACGTCCACCACAGGCCAAGAAGCATCTTTGGCAACCGGAGTTGTATCTTTTCCTAGATAGCCCCTCCAGAATGCCTCCTGCTGGGCTTCGGAAGACATAGCCTTGCCGTACTGTATAAACTCTGCAATATCTAATGGCGCATCCACCGGGGTGGACACATCCAGGCATAGTGACTCAAGTGTATTGGTAAGATGCTGAAGCACTACTGCATCATAAAGGGCATGGTGGATATGTAGCATCAGCAATGTCTCCGTCTCAGTCTGAGAAGCATATAGATACACAAGTCCCGAGCCCTGTCTGGCCGTGACATGGAGACGGTTCGACTTAACTCTCAGATCGGATCTCCAGATTATCGGATTATTAACTTGCTTCAGCTCAGCCAGTACATAAGGCGTACTGGCGTCACCAATAGGGAGTATTGCTGTCCGAAGTATCGGCAGTTTGACAGTCATAACTTTCCATGCGGCGTCTAACTGGCCCTGAGTGATGCGGCCAGTAACCCTGTAGAAGAAGTCTGGGAAGAAGAGCTTTCCATGCGAATTCTTCCAAATCTCCAGCATGTAAACCTGCCCTGCCGTAGCGGGGAGGAAAGCCTCGACATCTTCTTGCTTCATACCATACTTCCCCAGTTGTAGGTCGATGTTGCTATTTCTCAGCATCTGCAGCGACAAAAGTTTTCCTCTTGAAGTTGCAATTGTTGGCTTCTTCTCCTGCGCGGAATTGACTACTTCTGCCATTTTCCCAACAGTCTCCGCTCGCAGTATATCCCTAACGGAGATGAGCACAGACTGCCGTCTGAGTAATGAAGAGACCTTGATAGCGCTGATACTGTCAATACCGAAATGGAAGATAGTGGTATTCCTGGTGATCTCCTCCTTCGGTACAGCAGCAACTAGCGACAAGGTATCTCTGATCCTCTCTTCCAGCGGTGACCACACTGCGGACTCAATGGCGATACCACTCGGCCCGTCAGGTAAAGAAGCGCCGTTTTGGGTCACACTATCAAGGGTTGGCTGTTCTCTGGTCTCTACGAAGGCGGCAGTGGATGTCTCTGGTGATTGAATAATGGCTTTGAATACCTGCAACAGCCGCAGGATAAGTTGATTGGTATCTTTCTTGTTAAAAATGGTATCTTTGCAGGCAACACGCCATACCACGGAGTCACCCATAGCTTCCAGTTCGACACAGATGGGATACTCCACACCTGATGAGCTGTTAATCGATTTGTAGAGAGGCTTATCTTGACTTTCCTGCAAACTAGGGCTCTTTTGGTAGATGAAAAGGGTATCGAAAAGGTCCTTATTTCCTGCTCCCATCATAGACTTGATCTTTCGTAGCGGGTAGTGTTGATGCGCCAACATGTTGCCCAGATTCCTCTGCACGTATTCTAACATCTCGGACACAGAACCGTGTAAGATTCCACGGATGGCAACGGTATTCATTGTTGGGAAAGCAACTTTTGAAGCTTCTTCTGTATCTCGTCCAAGCATCACTGTACCGAATAGAACGTCCAACTGTCCCAGGTAGCTGGCAAGGACAATTGTCCAGCACGTAAGACCAAGAGCTTGTGCTGTAATGCCGTGGGCCTTGCAAAAGTTCAACACATGCGAAAGTGGTATATCGGAGGCCGTCTCATCATGATGCACCAGAGCCCCTTGACCTCCAGCACCTGGCTGCGAGGGGAATATACTCGGCTTTGCATCCGAGAGTATGCCCTTCCAGAACCGCAGACCTTCCTCTCTCGATGAGCTGATAATATCTTCAAGGACATGTTGATAAGATGGACGTGCGCTATCTTGGCCTGAGTAGGCGCTCGCTACGTCTTGATGGAGAAGGTTGAGTGACCATCCATCGTACATGGCATGAGACAGAGAAAGGATAAGAAGCAGTTTGGTTCCATCTCGAATAAGGCGTAGGTTGAATAGTGGTTTTGACATTACCAGTGACAATGCCCTAGCTCGCTCCTCTTCAAGAATTGATTCAATAGAATTGTCCGAAATATCAACAATATTCCAGTCAATTTTGATACTTGACTTGTGAATGAGTTGTGCATAAGAGCAAGACAAATTTGGGTCAGGCACCGTGGCAAAGGAAGTCCGCAAGATTGGGTGACGATTCGCGGTAGTTTCCCATGCATTCTTCAACGTGGTGATATCCACATCTTCGCTGATCTGCAGGATGTCATGGTTGAAGTAATGAAGACCATCAGATGATAACATTTCATTGATCATGCCTTCCTGCAAGGGTGTCGCCGGATAGATATGTTCAATATCTCTTAGGTCCCTCCCATCTTCTTCCAGGGACCGTCGTAATTGACTCTCTAAAGATTTCAAGTAAGTCAGACCGGCTTTAGTGGCGCTGCCATTAACTGTAATCTCGGACATCATGGTTCGAATAGTCCTATTTCGCATGATATTGCCTACGGACAAATCTATGTGGTCACGCTTCAGGCGAGAGGAGAGTTTGATGGCATCTATGCTATCCAAGCCAACTTCAAGGATTGAGGAGTCCTCATTTATTTCTGACACATCAAGGTTTGCTAATTTAGCAATCTCTTGTCTCAGCAATGAAGCTGCTTGACTCCATTGAAACGAGGCAGTGACGTTGGGTGAAGGGTCTCCAATGACTTTGATGGCAATCTGCTTCGACGAAGGCTCCATCGAGGCTGAATTTCCCGAAAAGCCAAGATTTGAGAAGGGTTCTTCCACAAGACTACGTAAAGATAGCCTGAACTGTTCGAGTAAGTTGGAAACACCGTCAGAAGTCAAGATGTCTCCTTGACATGCGGCCGTCACCTGGAAAGATCCCCTTCCTTGACTCTGCACTTCTAGGGCAAGGGGGTAATCAGCTTCTGCGAAGGATGCCACAGGTTCCCATAACGATTCCCCTGGTTGGGAGGTGATGTTTTCTTGTTTCTGGAAAACGAAGAGTACATCAAACAGAGGTCTCTGAGAATTTCGACCAATCCATTTCATTATTGACCTCAGCGGAGTATGCTGGAAAGGAAGGACAGAGACAGAGTAGTCATGGCAAGCTTTAATAAGCTCAGAAAAGGTTGAGAAGCTGAACTTCGGAATATTGCAAGGTATAGTGTTAAATAAAGGCCCAACCGCAGTATCAGCGTCTTCCGAGTCGAATGATCTTCCGGAAACCACAATGCCCATAGTTGGTATATAACTAAAGTACCTCTCGAACGTATACACCCAGCAAGCATGAAACATTGCTTGCTCCGTAACATTTAGTGATCTCCTTATTTCCTCGATGCAATGGATACCTTCAATCCGAATTGTTGAAGTTCTGGAGCCAGGTTCGGGGAGCGGTCTCCGTGGTATTGTCGTTTGGTTCAGGTCCTCGAGATGTTGGACCCAGAATGATTTAGCAGCAGGCACAGTACGAAGTGGGCCAAGAGGCAGTACTTCGGTGAATGGCATAGACCTCGGTATTTGTCCGCTATTGTATACGTTTTTCACTGCATCAAGGATGATTGGAAGACTGATACCGTCGTATAAACCGTGGAATATATTCAGGCACATCCATCTGCGTTTTGGGCTGGATACGATACCGATTTCCCAGACCCGGCTCATGAAATTATTGAAACCAAGGTTCCACTCCTTGAAGCGGCCCTCAACTGTACTCTCAAGTTCATCGTCCTTTGATGTTGCACGTTCAAACCACGGTAGGGTTGCCTCCTTAAGGACTACAAGAGCGTATCCATCATCTGTAAGAGGGAATTTTGCACGTAGCAACTGGAATGACACTTGCGCTCGTTTCCAAGCTTCCTTAAGCGTTGGTACCTCTGTGTGCGGTGCAAGCTGAAACTTGAACGATGTCAAATAAGGGTGAGATTCATTCCTCAGACATTGGTACAGCATGCCATCCTGCAATGATGTGCATGGAGTGATGGCTTCGATATCCTGTGGAGCGACTTCTAGTTCGTTTGCCAAGTGTGACATATGCATTTGGGCAAATGCTGCTATCTTTTGCTTTGCATCCTCATACTGGCGCCTCTCGCCTTCAACGTTGTTATCAGGAGATTCAATAGCCTTAGCTAGTATCGAAAGAGTTGAACCTAAAAAGGGATCAGTACAATCCACCCATATTCTCAACACGGAACAAACTTACATTTCATCACAACTGATGGGTGGGCTGCTGGAAAGCCAGCTTCCCGTAGCGCTCGAGAGAAGGATATCACCAAAATAGAGTCCAGGCCCAATTCGAAGATATTTGAAGATGATGATATTGTCTTCTCCTCGACCTTCGTAAATTTACACAAAATAGGAATTATCGTCCTGATTGTTTCCGTGTCTTCAGTTGGACTTTCCTGCTCATGACTGGACAATGCCTGCATTTCGCTCAGTAGCATCGATGCAAATATTCCTCGCAATTGACCGTTATCAATCTTGTTGTTAGACGATAACGGAAACCTCGTCAACGGGATAATATGCGTTGGGATCATGTATCCTGGCAGATGTGACCGGCATTCCGAGCGGATAGCTTCCAAAACTCTGCCGGCCTTGGGGCTGAAGTCAACTTCTGGACAGGCAGCTCCGGAAGCAGAAGTAACGACGGTGGTGAAAGATACTATTTGCTCCTTAGTTGCGGTGGGATGTTTGAGTACCATTGTAACCACATCTCCCACTCCCTCTGTGGAATTTTTTATCACATGGTTTATCTCATTGATCTCAAGCCTCTGACCTCGAAGCTTCACTTGGTCATCAATACGTCCAAGGAAGCAGAAACTTCCATCATGCATCATGCGTACTAGGTCACCAGTTCGGTAAACTCTTTCTCCATATGTCTCAATATATTGGAACTTTTCCGCCGTCAATTGTGGTCGGTTCAGATAACCCTTGCCAACAAGTGGGCCTGACACACAAAGCTCTCCGATACCACCGCGTAAAACGGGTGTATTGGTACCCTGTTTGAAGACATAACCACTAACGTTATCAAATTGCGGACCAATATTAGTTGGCTTATCCGAAGAAGTGACCCGTGGAAGCATTGTACAACCGATTGTGACCTCGGTTGGACCATATCCATTGTAAATAACCTCATGAGGCCCCCAATGTTCGAGGATCTCTTGCTTTAGCTTTTCGCCTCCTGTGATAAAAACACCACGGCAAAGGGACGGGACATCCTCAGGTTGTATTAACTGTGCCAGGCTAGGAGTCAAATCAATGTGTGTGATAGACAAGTCACGAAGGGTTCCCGCAAAGTCTTCAAAGAGAGTATCTCTAGGGCAAGATGTTAGACATATTCCTACACTCCACGTCCAGTATTGCTCAAGAACGCAGACATCGAAGTGGAATGAAGCAAACTGGAACCACCGAGACGATTCATCCCAATGGCCTCCAAACAATCTTTGAAATGATAGCATGGCTTGTACTGCATTTTCATGGGTTATCTCGCAACCCTTTGGTGTACCCGTGCTTCCCGAGGTATACAAGCAATAGCAGGTTGCATCACTATAAATCGGGAAGCTCAGTGTTGGAGGTGTCGAGTTCACTCCATCCAATAGACCCTCTTCATTTACCACGACCAGCCTGATGCCAGTCAGATTTTTCAACTCGTCTTTCTGTTCTATTCCGCACATAAGGATATCTGCCCTCGAATCTTCCAATATAAATTGTTTTCGGGCGATTGGAGCACTGGGGTCAATCGCTAAGAATGCACAGCCAACTTTGAGAACTCCAAGTATTGAGAAGTAAGCCTCAGGACATTTTTGAAAGGAAACTCCAACCAATGTTCCCTGCTTCACGCCGAGATGGTGAAGTAGATTTGCGTATCTATTCCCTTGTTTATCCAAATCTCTGTAAGTCCAACTCTGGGTAATGAGTTTGCCATTGACTCTCTCCGCAAATTCGAGTGCCACCTTAGATGGATGCCTAGTTGCTCCAACTTCTACAAATTGATGTAAAAGTTGAGTTGGACAGTCAATTTTAGAGTCCTTCCTCGGTAAAACAGACACAATGGAACGGCTTGCAGTGTCAAGGGAAGAAGAAGTTGAATCGGGATATTGTAGAATATCAGTCAGCAACCAATCAAGTTCATCAAGGAGCAAGGAGGCCTGGCTGTCGGGTAGAATGTGATTTTGGTAAGTAACAGCAAGCTTGAGAGTATCGTTACTCGGAATCAGCTCAAGAGACACAGAATACTATATATCAGTCAGCATGACGCATATCCCGTTTTCGCTCCTTCCACTTACTTCAGTCTGACTGCTTTCTTCAACTACATCCCAGAGGGGGTTTTGTTTATCCGTGGAAGCCAGCTTCTGAAATACGAAAAGAGTATCAAAGAGTGGGGAGTCGGCTTTACTCAGACGCTGAATCTTTGCCAGCGACGTAAATTGATATTTCACAGCCATGGCATTAGATTTCATGATCTGCTGAAGCAGTTCCCGATTTGTTGCTTCTACGTTTTGCTGAGCTGGCACCGTCGTAAGGCAAGGAAAAGCGGTATCCTGAGCTTGTTCAGAGATATCTCGACCAGAAAGTACCAAGCCATATGTAACAGTAGACTCTCCTAGGTATGATGAGAGAATTCGAGACCATGCAGCCTGACCAAGGGCTTGTAATGTAACACCAAGCTCACGGCAGCCTTTTTGTAGTTTCTCCATGGTAAACGAACAGTCTCGGGAAAGGAAACGGGTATCATTTACTTTAGCATGGACAGGATTCATGTCTGGAAACTTCGTAGCACTGAACGAAGGGCCCACCTCACTCCAATAACTCTCTGATTCACGGGATTGAAACTTCTCGACAATGAAACCCAGGACAGGGGACACTGGAATCGCTGGCGGTAAAGTAGATCCATTATAAACATTTATCACTTCGGAGAGTATAAGGTTCATTGAATGAGCGTCGTAGAGAGCGTGATGGGCTGAAAGCTGTATGAGCGTGTAGTGACTGCAAGGTTTAACGATAAGGAACCACGGCGGGCGGTGGAGTTGATTTAATATACTCTTGCCATTAAGGTGTTGTTCACGTCTCGCATCCGACATGCTCTTAGGAGGGGATAGACACTCATTCCAGGGCAATTCGATAACTCCTGGGCGATATGTCACCATCGCAAATGGGAATATGTCATCCTTCACGTCACAAAATCCAGTTCTCAGCATCTCGTTTCTCTCCATGACACTTTCCCATACGAGTCTTAGAGCAATCAGATTTAATGGTGTCGGAGATTTCAGCGTAAGGCTGTTAAAATAGAGTAAGCCTTCTGAGTTTATGAATGAGGCAAGCATACCTGCTTGCGGTGGTGTGCAAGGTCGGATAGCTTCAACACTACTTTCCAATAATCCCAACTTATCACAGATAGAGGGCAGATGCAATGATTGGAAGCTATCGAAGTCGAAGTTATGGAGTGTTAGGCCCACGCAGTCCTTTGATTTTGAACCTTGCAGGACCAATGCGATCTCTCGAATTGAAGGCCCCTGGATATAGTGTCAGTCTAGACAATGGTATGACGTTTATAGCATCAGAAAACTCACCTCCAGAATATCAGCCGCCGAAATTTCGTAGCCGACTTTTCTAAAACGTCCAGCTATCTGAATAGCATTAATACTGTCAAGTCCCAGCGCAAAAATGGTCGTATCCATGCTGATACGCTTTTTATCAACTTTCGACATTGCTGAAAGCAGATCTCGGATTTCTAGACTTTCTGCACTCCACTCCTCGGATTTGTCATATCCATTGGTCTTATGATCTCCATTGGCTTCCCCTATATTTCTGAAGACACTGAGGCCTCTAGAAACTTGTTCATCAGATTCAACGAAAGAGAAATCCATTACCCTTGCCTCCGGGAAGCGTAGTGTATGGTTTAAAATAGCATGGTAATATGCAATGATAGTATCTATATCCGTTGTGGGCACAAGACCCTCGTCAAAGTGGAGAATGAACTGCAGAGAGTCACTTTCGGGGTGAGGTATGATTTCAAATATAATAGGGAAGTCCATTACACCATTCTCGGATACCATCCTCCATAGGGACTCATTCAACTGAAGGGGCCTTCCTTGTAGAAGGAACAATGAATCGAAAATCCTCTGGCCTCGCTGACTGAAGTGCGACTGAATTCGTCTCATTGAACTGAGTTGATACGGAAGAGTGGCTGCTCTGTTAGATTGCAAGTTCCTCATCAAGTCTATGTTCGTCATATTCCCGTTCAAGCTTGTCCTCACGGGCAACGTGTTGAAGCATGGGCCGACTACTCTTTCGACCCCGTCGATAGGTAAACTTCTGCAATTAACCACATCTCCAAAGCAAATATCAGGAGAACCGGAAAGTAAGCATATCAGTCTACTCCAGGCTGCCTGTAATAAACTCAAGGTGGTCACAGACGAGCTTTTGCATGCATTGCAAACCTCAGTAAAGCTTGAGCTGGGAATGTGGGAAGTCGATCGACTCATTATCGGGTTTCCCTTAACTAGGGAGGAGGGTGATGTGAATAAGGTTGGAGTAAGACCTTTCAGGTAATTGCTCCAGAACTGGTCTGTTGAATCGCTGTTGACCTTGATCATCTCGTGAAGATAGAGATCGAAAGGGACGACGGGTGGAAGTTGATGCTCAAGCAAGCACTCTTGAACCTCTTGCAAGAGGACTTCCATTGCTTCACCATCATATAGAGCATGGTGTATAGATAATAGTAGGAATACCTTTGTAGAATCCACACACTGTAAAACAGTAAACGAATAGAGTGAATGCGGCCCCTCTTTGACAGTGACTGCGAGCTTGCTTCTTTCCAGGGCCGAGGGTGCTTCGGCGACTGGGCATTTGATTGATTGCCATGCAATGTCGAGCCGCTCCAGAACAACTTGAACGAATGGAAACAGAGCGTCATCAGTTTGCCGGAACCAAGTTCTTAGCATGTCATGCCTCGTAACCATGTTCATCCAGGCCGTCTTTATGAGCTCGATGCCCGTATTGACTTCAAAAATCAAATGGTTGTAGTATGATGCATCATTTCCGGTGGATATACCTGAAAGCATGCCTTCTTGTAAGGAAGTACAAGGCAAAATTTTTGTGACGTTGACCCCATGCGAAGAAGCCTCTTCCTTGATTTTGCTTATTAGTTCACGACTGAAGAGATGATCAAATGTCGGAATGGATTCTAAGCTTGGTATCTGGGCGTCAGTATTCTGCGATATCTTCCTCGTAAGTCGTGCGATCGAATCATTTTTCATAATAACAGAGATATCAATCTGCCCAAAACCGGCAAGTTTTAGTTCCCTGGAGAGAGCGATTGCTATCACCGAATCAAAACCTAGTCGGTAAAAGGAGGTATGTCGTCCTATTTCTTTCGTCGAGACTCCGGTAACTTGTGCAACAAGTCCCATGACCTTCGCTTCATTGTCGGTCAGATCTTCCTGGGCGGGTTCTTCTTCTTCCCCACGCGAATACGCATCAAGAAGCGTTGGGTTAGCACTTAAGTACATACACTTCAAGGCTTCCTTATCAATTTTTCTTCCGACGGTTGTCATGGGAATATGACTTATTGGTATGAGGAAGAGTGGGATCATATAGCTAGGCAATCGGTCGCCTATATGGTCAAAAAGTTGCTGGAAAATATGAGAATTTTCTTGCTGCCCAAGTCCGTCGATATTGATATTATCAGGGACCCAAAAAGATATCAACTGTTTGCTGCCTCCATTGTCCCCATCATTGGAATCACACACGATTGTTGCACAATCCTTGACGTTTTCGTGGGCCATCAAAATACTATTGATTTCGCCCAGTTCAATGCGCTGGCCTCGAATTTTCACTAGGTCATCGCGGCGACCTACAAAGGCGATTGAGCCATCAGGGAGGAGTCTCCCGTAGTCGCCGCTTTTGTAAATCCGTCCGTATTCTTCATGGACCAAAAACTTCTGCCGTGTGAGGTCTTCCATGTTCAAATATCCAATACCCTAATTAAACGTCAGTTGGGTAGTTATTATATTTCTGTTCTGAAATGTACTTACCACTTGATCCCCACCAAAACATAGCTCACCCATGGCTCCTCGTGGGACAAGAGAAAACCCTTCTCCTTCCGCGAGTACGAACGCAGACGTGTTCGGAAGTGTTCTCCCTATATTGCTTATGAAGTGAGACATACATACGTTCGGTTTGACCGTGCAAATATTGGTGGTTTCACTTGGACCGTAGCCTAAAGACATATTAGTTAGGGTCCCACTCACTCCGTTTATTTGCTTATTTTGTTTTACGGAAATTATTCACCTTGCCATAGGCCTTTCCCTGCCCAGTCCATCAGGACTTTCGGTGTCAGTGCTTCACCGGCAGTGACAAGGAATTTAACCAGCGGCACGTTATTCGCTCTCACAAGAGCAGCAACGGTTGGAGTCATACTAAGGTGAGTAATTCGCAGGGTGCGGATTGCATGTTCAATGTCCCTGAACAATACATCGTTCTTTGCAGAACATAAGGTCATTCCTCTGCTCCAGGCAAAAAATATTTCAAACACAGAGACTTGAATTTGTTAATAGATGTAATACGTGGAAAGAAATGGGTCGGCTCACCATCAAAAGCATGGGAGCATGCTTGAAGCAATCTTGATTCAGGAAAATCAGGATATAGTGCCGACAAAACAGCAATGTTACTCTCCAGGTTAAAACGTGAAATAAGAACTCCCTTTGGCGTGCCAGTGGTCCCAGATGTGAATACTGCGTATGCAGGGCAAGATCCAGGAGCTTTTGTAAACTCATATAGAGCATTCTCCACCAACATTTGGTTTTTGGCCAGTATTGTCGTAGTGTTTGGGAAATCTGATAGTTGGGCCAGGATTTCACTATCCGCTATGCAAATGCGGCAGCTTGCTTCTTGAATAATGTGCTTCACTCGCTTTATCGGCGTCTGTGGTGTTATGGGCACATATCCAGCTCCTGCTTTGATAACAGCGAGAATAGAGATGTAAAGCTCAAGTGATTTCTCGAGGCATATTGCAACCAAATTACCTTCAACAACGCCAAGGTTCCGGAGTTGACTAGCAAACTTGTTGGATTGTGCATCCAACTCCGAATATGTCAGTGTTTTTATAGCTTTATCTCCTGTTTCCAGGTCTAAAGAATCTAGAAATTCAACAGCAATCCTCTCTGAGTCTATTTTCGCGATCTCTTCAATTGAATCATATAGGCCAGGAACAGATTTCAAGGGCGATGGAAAAGTATTCTCTGTTGAAAGCAAGGATTTCGGAAGATGGGATGGAAGCTCCTCTAATAGCCTGTCGGCAGACTCAAGGAAAGTCATGGCTATACTTTCGATTTGTTTCAAAAATATAACTACCTGGCTTTCCGGGAGGATTGATTCCTCGAACGTCGCCTTTGCCCGGATTTTGCCATCTCGAATTCCAAGTTCAGTAGTCAATGTGAACTCAAGGAAATCTCTCGATGCGACTTGGGCTATTGGTCCACAGGTAGTGGTGAAGTTATCTTGCCAAACAAAAAGGGTATCAAATAGCTGATCAGCCGTATTAATTCCGGAGACTTGTTTTACGTCTCGAAGGGGAACAAATCCGTGAACGAGGGACTTTTTATTCAAACCATGAAGAATTGCAAGTAGGTCACGGACAGTTCGAGCTTTCCGGAGATTTAGTCTTAGAGGAAGCGTCGAGATGCACGGTCCCACAATGTTTTCAATGCCAACTATAGGAAGGGTACGGCCAGCAGATACGTTCCCAAGGATAATATCCGAAGTGCCATGGTATGCCGAAAGTAGACATCCAATGGCTGCCTGGAAGATGATCTGTCGACTTACTCGGAAATCCCGAACGAAAGAATCAAGCTGATCTATGTCAAGATTCAACTGACGTTCAACAACCTTGGAGGCTTTTGGAAGATCAGATCTATCTTGAAAATTAGGCCATAGGCAAGGTGTAGAGCCCTGGAGATGAGACTGCCAATAATTTAAAGCTTGCTCCCTAATCTCGGAGGAATGATTATTTATGTGGAAAAGGGTGAAGAGTCGGTATTGTGACCGCTGAGTTAGTTGTTTATTCTCAAGTGCTGAGACCAAGTCCCGCATGATCTGATCCCAGGACCAGCCATCATACAATGAATGATGGATATGAACCAGAGCTTTGGGACGCCCATCAATGACGCAGAGTTGGACTTTGAGTGGATGCAATATATCCCACTGATTTTGCAGCTCTAAGTCATGGTCAATAATCTTTGACTCTATGATTTGGTCGGGATGAAGACTCTCCCAAACGACTTGGGCGTATGGGAATCCAGGAAAATCTATTTCAATAAACCCTGATCTCAAAACTTCGTTTTGTAGAGCAGTGTTTATAAATGCACTTTTAACTTCTTCTAGAGAAATACCACAATCGAACTGCAGTTCAACAGAATTGAAATACGCCTTAGGATTTAACTTCGTTTCCAAAAGCATTCCAGTCTGTATTGGGCTGCATGGAATTATATCGGTTGGCTGCTGTAAATGCTCAGTAAGCTTCAACATTTCGCGCCCTTGTTGGATGATCGTATTCCACATCGCTAGTGGCTCACTTTCAGTGGGAACCACAGTCATCTCAGGTTGTGACTTCAAGACGAAGGCAGCCATCTTGCGGATAGAGTCGGCTTCTAGGATATCCAAGGCGTTCAGGAAGACCCCTTCTTTCCGTAAAGAGGATGCAAGGTGAATAGCCCTTAGGGAGTCAAGGCCCGCTGACGCAAGGCTTGCTGTTGGGGTAATGGATGACTCCAGAAGCAAGTTGAGGGATACGGAGATCTTCTGTTCGATGTCACCTGCTGGTTCAGCCAGATCAGTTTGATCGACGTCCTTCGATAGTATGTATTCCGCCTCTAGACCCTTCCTGTCAATTTTACCAGATGGGAGGCGAGGCAGCTTATTGAGGATGACGAAGTTCCCAGGGATCATAAATTTCGGCAGGGATCGTCGGCAGGTCAACTGCAGATCTCTGGAAGTACAATGTGCGACGTCCGCCGATAGGAAAGCAACGAGAGCTCCCTGAATAACACAGGCGGCGGCGTTTCTCACGTATTGATTTTTCAAGAGCACGTTCTCAATCTCCCCTAGCTCGATTCGTTGACCTCTAAGTTTGACCTGTCCCGTAGATATACGACCCATGCATTGGAGTTCACCACTGGGATGTAGACGGGCCTTGTCTCCGGTCCTGTATAAACGTCCATACGTTTTAGAATCAATAAAAGCATTTCGATTCTCGGTCGGCCGGTTAAGGTAGTACCGAGCAAGCTGTGGGCCTCCAACCACAAGCTCGCCGACATGGCCAACAGGTAGTATCACCGGTTCCTGACCAACGATGTGGTCCATAGAAATGATGAAAGCAGAAACAGTTTTGAAAGGTGTACCAATGTTTCCAACAAGTGAGCCGGCACGAATTGAAGAGGCAGCAGTACAGTGGATAGTGGCTTCCGTAGGTCCATACATTCCGTGCAATAATCCAGGCCTATCCTCTGAACAACCGAATTCGTCGACCACATGCCTTGTCAACATCTCGCCGATTGTCAACAAAAGCTTAAGGCACGGCACAGCATCTCGAGATTGGAGAAGTTCTCCACACACGGTTGGAGTAAGTTCAGCAGCGTCGACATTCAGTTGGTTGATGATACCAGGGAGATCGTTTAGCATCAAACGCCTGTTGCAGCCCACGAGAGTTACACCCCTGAAAAGCGGGAAGAATATCTCAAAAACAGAGACATCAAATGTAGGAGCTGCAAACTGAAGGAATCTCCTGAATCCAGGGATTATTTCGTCATGTGCTAGCAACGCTTGCACAGCAGCCTGGTGCGATATTCCCACTCCTTTAGGCAGTCCTGTAGAACCAGAAGTATACATGACGTATGCCAAATCTTCATTGCAAACATCCACGCCAGAAAGACAACTTGGCGCAAAGGTCTTGCTATCTTCCATTTTGACTATAGTGATTGAAGTTTCGATATTGTGGAAGGCACTAGTAAGCTCCTCATTGGTGACGACAACGCGAGCGTCGACATCTCCAACAATGAAATTCAGCCGTTCCGTTGGGGTATCAAGGTTTAATGGGCAGACAGCCGCACCGGCCTTTAAAATCGCCAACCATGCCACATATAGGTCTAGAGATTGGGGAAGAAGCACAGGTATGATTCTCCCGTGCTGTCCTGGGGGTGGAAGAGAGGCTAGGGTGTGTACCAGGTGAGACGCCAGTTGCTCCGAGAGAGAGTGAAGCATCTCATAACTTAAAGCTTCTACTTCACCACTTTCATTAAGGAACGAGATTGCTGGCTCATTACCAGTGTGACGAACCATTTCATGGAAAAGATGAGGGCCGGGTAAGATCAAAGGCGTTGGATTGATTATTGAGAGGGGGAGAGGCTCTCGGAGAAGGCTCTCTAGATTTCTAGCGAGCTGATTCAGATACCTGACACTGGTACAGCCTCTAGATGTAATTGACCCATTTAATTGATGCGGGGTATACCTGATCTCTAGCTGACATTGTTCGCTGGTAATAGGGGTCTATCAATCTGGTTAATACTGAAAACTGTTTGTTAAAAGGGTTAAGTTAAGGTCCTTACATCCGAAGTGACTATTGCAGTACGGCTACCCGAATCAGTGCCCGATTTTTCAATCTGTACACTCTCTATATGGCCACTTTCTAGATGTATTCTCGCGGCGGCTCCATCAATTTGGATGACTGGAAATTCTTCTTCACTCAACCGACTTAATATAGACGCCCATGCGAGAATCAGTCTGTCGAGATCGGTGATATTGTCCAACTTCCAAGTAGCAGAGGCTTGCGAAGGGACGGCCTCAGTCCCATAGTTGAGACTGGGAAACTGCGTGTATCGATCATAGAGGAATGAATCCATGATTCAACGATTAATGGAAGGAAAGAGAAATGAGAATCCACTTTGATGCCGGCATAGCTGAGGCCTGAGTTGGCGAGCTATATAAATGCTTTCAAGATACCAAAGAAAAAGTTGATCAGTTCCGACGGTTAGATTGATAAGAAAAAGTAATTAAGGATGCCCACTTTAACTATAGTGCGACTAAGCGCGTGACGTCTTCAACACAGCGCTCAACAAGAGAGAGACGGCCGAGGAAGTGATGGAGAAGAATAAGAACTCCATACGAGGTACGGAGTACAAGGCGCGAAAACGCCGTCCCGCCCAGGCAAGGATCCAGCTCAGGGAATGAGGACCAGGCGAGCTTAAACCCGCGGGTCCAACAAGCAGCCTCTAACCGAGTCGAAAAACTGATGAAACCTTAGATTAAGAAACAAAAAGAAAAGAAAAAAAATTTTGAGCGAAGAATGACTGAACTCGCATTGCAGTCAATCTTGGTTTGCACCATTGCTGTGTGCCTTGCGGCAAAAAAAGAGTCCTACGTGTTATACCGTTAGCTGCCCCTCTTGCTTGCTCCGAAAGTAGGGAGAAAAACAAAGATTATGAAACGCAGAGATAACTATGCCTTGCAGTAGACATGACAGGCAATATCCGAGGGTCGATGAATCCCGGCCTCTCCAGTAGAGAAACCTGCTCCTCTCTGTCAGGGTCGGCCCTCGAGGCTGCTGATGGCCGGATGATTGGCCAAGCGTGGAGGACTGGTTGGTGAATTCCCTCCTTGTCTTATCGAGATCTGTCTTTTTTGACCGGAGGTTGTGTTTGCCCCTGGTTTGGCGTCTTGGTTGATGGAAGAAGTGTCGTTCTTGTCTCTTTTTTGCTTTTTTTCTCTCGGTGTCGGAGGAAGACGTGATTATGTCCAAATGCGAGCTAGCGTAGAATGTCGGTCAAACACGGATCTAATCTTATCGATCTGATAACTAAGAATATTTGTAAACTCCGGTGCGACGTCAACAACATCCGACCTTTCAGTGGCCCCTTTATTCCCACACTTAGCGCTGCAAATCTCCACCGAATGCCCACAGCCCACTTCAACCCCCGTCAAACAAGCGAAGGAGAAACAAGTTAGCGTGAAGAGTCGACCCGAGCAGGCAGGTAGCAGAGTAAAAAAACAAAAGAGAGCAAGATGGGTTGAAAATACGAAAAGAACGCAGCGCAAACCGTCCGCTCCCTTTGGAATATGCATTCCTCATTCACAGAGAGATAGAGCTATCAATGGGAAGAGAGGGTGACCATTTCCCCCTTCTCTGTGCCGTTTTTCTCGATTGACACGCATCCTGTCAGGGATTCCTAAACACAGCCTATGGAAATAGTCAGCAGCAGCACCGTTCCGTGTCCCAAACTCTACCTTGAGGATCAGGAGGTCCCCGGCTCGTTTTTTACCCCCCCTCCCCATGGCTAATACCTTCGCCTAAGCGCCTTCGCTACTTGCATCACTTGGGGCAAATTAATTGCATGGCAGCTCCGTTTTCAGGCCATCGAGGGTTTTTCTGGTGGAACCATTTCGTCAACTCTAAACTTTCCTTTCCCGTGTCAATGATGATTATCTGATGCGACATGCGGGCAGGTACCGACGGAGATAGAAAGCATGTTCCAGGGGTTCTTCGGCCTTTACTCCAGTTGCTTTAATAAACCATCTTCCGCTCCGAGTATATACAGTTGATCCTTTGCATCGTTCAGCAATAACATTTCTTCATTTTCATCGTTATCCCCAAACGAAAGCATTCGATCTAATACGACTACTGACATTGCTTCTATATATACATCTTGGTGGACGAAATGGCACCCTCTCTTGAATCTTTAAGTCCATACATAAATGGTACTTCTGCCATGGGCAACGGGTTCACAAATGGAACCAACTACCCTGTGCCAAAGCTGGAACTTCATCCTGAAACCACCCCGACATCATCTACAAGAGTGCAGACTCACCCATTACTGCCTTCTGTTTCTGATGATGAGCTGCATGACCTTATTTGTGTTGGCTTTGGCCCAGCATCACTCGCCATAGCCATTGCTCTTCACGATCACCTGCTTGAAACTACTCATTCCTCAGATATCACCACTCTCCCAAAAATCTGCTTTCTAGAGAAACAGTCGAACTTCGCGTGGCATTCTGGCATGCTTCTTCCTGGGTCAAAGATGCAAATCTCCTTCATCAAGGATCTGGCTACCATCCGCAACCCCAGAAGCGAGTTTACCTTCCTCAACTACCTACAAGTTCATGATCGCCTCCTTGATTTTGCCAACCTCGGGACCTTCCTCCCTGCCCGTATTGAATTCGAAGACTACATGAAGTGGTGTGCGAGTAAATTCGCCAACCTTGTCAGATACGGAACCGAGGTCCTCGACGTCACTCCTTCGGATGTCGACCCTGTGACTGGCAAGGTTCATTTCTTCACTGTCCGCTCTAAGGACTTGGAGACTGGTGCAGTAACTACTCGCAAGGCCCGTCACGTAGTTGTTGCTATCGGTGGAAAGCCAAATATTCCAGCGGAATTTCCAACGAACTCAAGAATCATTCATTCATCCGCCTACTGCACCACCCTTCCCAGCCTTCTTAACAATACCCTTAAGGAGTACAGCATTGCTGTTGCTGGAAGCGGCCAGAGCGCAGCTGAGATTTTCCATGATCTTCAGAAAAGATATCCAAATGCTAAAACCAGCCTTATCATGCGAGACTCGGCCCTCCGCCCGAGTGACGACTCCCCATTGTAAGTAAAAGCAAGATTTCGAGGCTAGGCAATGTGGCGTTACTGACATAGTCCCAGTGTCAATGAGCTCTTTAACCCCGGGAGGGTGGACCAGTTCTTCAACCAGAGTGAGAAGGAGAGACAGCTCTTTCTCAACCGCCACCGCTCCACCAACTACAGTGTTGTAAGGCCGGAGCTTATTGAACAAATCTACGCAGATATGTACATCCAGAAAATTCAATACCCAGATGAGACTCAATGGCAACACAGAATCTTCTCTTCCTGTCTGATCTCCAAGGTCGAATCAGATAAGAGCGAGAAACTCAATCTATCATTGCAGCACTGCCACACTGAAAACACCACCATAAACGGAACCCACAATGAGGAGATGAATGCGGATGTCCTGATTTTGGCAACTGGTTACGTACGAAACGCCCATGAAAGCATCCTTGCTTCCATTGAGCCTCTTCTAGCCCAAAAACACATGGGATGGAAGGTCCAGAGAAACTACAGACTTGAGCTGGATAAGAGTCAGGTGGATGTTGATGCTGGAATCTGGCTGCAAGGGTGTAATGAATCTACTCATGGTCTTAGCGACAGTCTTCTATCAATTTTGGCAGTCCGAGGCGCGGAGATCGTTCAAGCGATATTTGGTGCCCAGCTTTCTAGTGAAAATTAGCCTGGTAAGGCAGAAGCAGGAGCCGGGTTCCCCGTGAGTTGATGAGCAGCAAAATCGAAATTTCTTGAGTCTGGTCATACGGCAGAACATCTCCCCTTCGCCTTTCTGTTTCAACATCATGTGTCTTTTTCTCCCCCCTCCCCCCCACACTATGTTAGCTGTTTAGCTTCTAATTTCGACGTAAAAGTTCTCACAGAATTGTTTGAATTTATCACCGTTTCTCCATCCAGGCACTCTTGTTGTGTCTGCTGGCTACAACATCCTAGCTTAATTCTATAGCTACTCACCTTCTCCAATATTTCCGAGTTGACTGGTTTAGTCAGATAATTCCATGCCTATATGGGCGATAGAACACAGAGCTCTCTCTAGTCATTCCTTGTACACATATTAGAGGCAGGGTCAACAAAGGATGCTTTATGTTTTTCGTATATTTTCGCGTCAAAGTTTTCCTGTGCATGAGTGTGACGGAATTATTCCATACACCGTAATTCCAAGCCTGTATCCACAAAGTATGCACTCCGTATGGAGTAATTGAACATGCACAGCTCCGTACAGCGGTAGTAAAGTATTTAAGAATACGGAGTACTCCGTACCAGTTGTCATCCTCTCCCCCACCCAACCACCTAACTAACATGACAGCGCTGATCCCTGTATACTCGCACTCTAGCGCTTGTGTTGCTACCCGCGTGGAGCAATAGGAGACGCAACTCCTCGATCTGATAAGCCAGAGTGTAAACTTTGTTCGTTATCAGATCCTACTGTGGAGCTGCAGCATCTGATAGCCTCCGAAATGACCCGGGTAGCAATGTCAAATATGCCAAACCCGCAACACGCCAAGCACCAAGCGCCAACAGGGCTGGCTCTACGGGGCTGCACATAAGGGAAATTGCGCCCAAGCAGCTGGCTAACTGCTGAATTCTCGGCCAGTGATGCCGCGGTGTGCGCGGGCAGTCTGCAGGAATTTGGTAAGAAATTTGAAGACGGATTGTGAGGAAGAAGCGTGAAGGTCCCGCGAACCGGTGGTAACCTTGGGCAGCACCAAGCTGGATTGGTTAGTTTGACCTCTAATATTCCCGTATTTGTTCTTGGGGTTGTGATATGCTGCGTCCGAGTCACAGGACTAGAGTCGTAAGTGACATAACAATTTCGATCTATCATACAATATTCGAGTCACAAGCTTATGAGCTAAATTGAGAAGGCAAAGAGAAAAAGTAGAAGGCATAGCAGAAGAGAAGAACTAAGAAAAGAGGAAATGGGGAAGACGGGGAGGGGAATGAGAAAATTCGGGCGAGGGTGAGAAGATAAAAAAAAAGTGAGGCACTAGGAGAACCCTGTTCCTGGCGCGTGCTGCTGCACCATGTACGGAGTACAAGGTTACGCCGGTGGGAACTCAGTTTTGACAGTTACTGATCTAGACTCGGCCGCCTGAATACTCAAGAAGATCCGCATCGTACATCTTGTAGTAATTCACAACCTTCCCTCCAAGCATCGAGTTACCAGCTTGACGCGTGCCAAAATACGGTGCTGGGTCACACCAGAAGTCTTGACAGTTGCGAACAATTCCATGTGAAAATGGGTTTTGTCGTCTTCGATGGCTCTGACCATCCTTCAGTCCGTCTTGGGCAGCGGCCATGAAGGCATCAAGGCCAAACAGGCTTTTCCACTTGGTGAAGCAGGATCCGTGTGAGTGATTATTACTCTCGGCCGTTGATAAAGCCTGGTTGGGAGTGTTAGGGGCCCTGTGGCTGAAACCGTGACCATGGCCTCTCATGACCTCGAAAGTGGTTGTTCCTCTGGATATCTGATAGAGCTGAACGAGAGTCAACATCGTAACCCAAATCAGCTGGAGCGAGGTCCAGATGGTTAGAACAAAAGTGTAGGTATCCGTTTCAACCACATTGCATAACCATGGTGAGATGAGATTACACGTTACTTTCACGCCACCCGGGACAATGGCAGAGTAGTCTGTCAACCAGATTAGTACTCGTCACGGAAACATATTGATTTGTGAGAGCTTACAAAGGAAGACCAGTCGAATATAGGCAACAATCCCGAGAAGTAACAAGATAAGGTAAAGCATGAAGTGACGGAAGTTATTGTTCCCAACACAGTTGTTTATCCAAGGGCAATGGCTAAATCACAATCAGCAATGGGCAATCACATCAAGGGGTTCGAATCGGGACTTACTGGTCCTGTTTAGATACGCAGCGCTTACATCGCCTGCAATGTTTGCTCCTTAGCGGTCTCCTGATCATACAAGGAACACAAAAATGGTCCTCATCGTAGCTCCAATCATTAATAAGTTCCATAATAACAGCTTTCTGCTCGTTCCTGCTGCTAAGCTTTGGAACGAAGCCAGGGTCTTCAATCATAGCATATGTATAAAAGTAGGTCATGAATGCAAACAGGGTGAGAAATATTAAATTTAGAAACAGTGAAGAAGAATAGGTAGCTAGAGGCATGTCAGTCCACAGAATCATCCGACCTCATGGAACGAATCATAGGTAAAAAGGGATTAGTTTTCTATACTCACTAGGTAGGATAACGTGCAACCATCGTAGAGCAACCCAGAATGCAGATGCTGAAAAAACCCCAGCCGGAAACGCCTAAATAAAAGATTTAGTATCTTAGAACTAACAGCAATGTGAGAGGAAGCATGGTGCAGCAGACATACCGTTCTCTGAAGTACTCTAAAATCCAATGGACCTCTCTTCGAAACCCATTTAATAAGCAAATGAACACCAAACATAAATAAAAGGGCCGTAAGAATAGAGACATATATCGACAGAGAACTCAAGATGGTGACAATAGTAGGCAATGAAAAAAAGGGTAAGAGAAAGTAAAACCTGGACATGTATAGCGATGACCGCAACATTCGTCCAATGACGGACGGTACAGCCGAACTGGTACCATTAGGTTCATAACCGCATTCTCCTAGCGCATGATGCCATATATGAGTTGTCTTCATCTCATCTGCAACAATCGCTGGTGTTTTCCCTTCCTTCGTTTCAGCAAATCTGTCTGCACCGTACTCTATTATCTTTTGTACGCAAGCAGTGGACCCCTTAACCAATGCCCAGTGCAATGGTGAAAGCCCTCCTTCGTCAGTCGCATTGACATCGGCACCCCATCGAAGGAAGACATCGACACAAGCAGGGAATCCTTTGTAGGCCGCCCACATGAGACCTGTATGGCCTTGGGGGTCGGCAATATCAACTGGGATCTCCTGATGGAGCAGCAGAACTAGCAGAAATGAGTTCCCATCGATAGTTGCAAGGTGCATAATATTGAATCCCTGGATATCCGTCAAGAGGGGATCTGCTCCGTATTGGAGTAAGAGTTGGACAATATAGTGGTGACATCTCTGAGCAGCCCACATGGCAGGTGTAGCTACTGATTCGCCGCCTTTCGCGTTGACATCTGCCCCGGAATCGAGAAGAAACTTGCAAAGCTCATAACGGTTATTGATAGCGGCCCACTAGATAGAAACAACAACCATAGGTCAGCTATTGATTCCATTTTTGGCGTTGCCGTGAGTCCTACATGTAATGGGGTTATGCCCTCCTCGTCCCGATAGCTAATATCATATTTCCGCGGTCAAAGAGCTCCTTGATCGCAGCTATTTCACCAAGCCTAGCCAGCCTGCATTATATCCATCTCCAGTCCAATCGCCTCTGCCACTCCGATAGGCTTCATGGTGTTCAGTTCAACGGTGTTCGCAGTGTCTGGTGGCATGGGGGTTTTGCCTGTCGAGCTCGGGTCCGAACTGGGTGTTGACAGCGAGGAGCTGCCGATGCCGTTGCTGGAGGACATGTCGGCCGGGTCCCGTACGAATTTCAGCGCTTGCTGGACATGCTGGGGCCGTCTCGTTCGGCTGGAGAGAAAAAAGTTGAGCTGCCTGATGGATGATTTTTGATGTCCGCGATCTCTCCGGGATTAGTTTAGCGCTCTTCGCTCAGCCGCATCCAGGTACGAGGCCTCGGGAGCTCGCTCGGTAACACGTAACTACCGATAAGCAAGGAGGAAGTGAAGGTAGACATCCCGACCTTTTTGATGACAGTTGAGATTATCCTGCAGAGAAGCGTTCCTTTTACTCGGCATGTAGACTATCATTGCCGAGCTACGGGCAACCATTAGTTATCATGGCTAGTAATTAAGATTCTTGCTTAGCATTGAAGCGGCTCAACTTAGCCAAGTACGAAGTAACAATCGCCCATGCCAACACCTCGTACGGAGTATGCAGATTACGATTAGTAGGGGTGAGAGTGCATGCTCGGAGCATTCTTCCCACACTTTCTTCTTTTCTTCATTATCTATAAAGGTAGGCAGTTGAGGAGTGGCGGAGAGTACCATATAGAGCAATGCACTCTATCAAAGTAGCCCCAGTAAGAACAGTAGCATAGGTCCCAATACTACTCCATCAGGTTAGTATGCCCTCTATATCATCCCTCTAGCATGTTCAGTTGTCATATTAAACGAGCACTGTCGACTGAAAAGCCATTATCAAATAACCCTCCCTTTCCTCCTTTCAAGAAACTCCAAGCCAAATGCTGACTAAGCAGCAGGCTCCGAGTTACCATGAAGCTCCAAAAGCTGATCTTCGGCCTTTAACTGACCGCAACCAACTTTGTATTTGCCTCCATGATGATGGTCGCGCAGGAATTATAGCCTTATGTTGACTTGCTTACACTCGTTACTTGATTAGTATGCCCATGATACTCCTCGATCTTCAAATCACAATCGCATCGTGCTCGAACGAAGCTCGCTATGGACATCAAGACATACATCTCAGACTCCCTCCTTCAACTCACCGGAGTTTCGGACCCTACAGTCGTTGATTTCGTCCTTGCAACTGCTTCAAAGGCCAAATCACAAGAGTCTTTGCGCGAACAACTTGGAGTGTTTTTGGATGGTGGAAATGCAGACATACAACCCTTCTGTACGCAGTTATGGAGTCGTGTGAATCCCTCGGGGCGAGATGGCAAATCTTCAAAGGACAAGCCCACTCAACAACAACAACAACAACAACAACGGAAGAAAAAGTATCGCTTGGTTGAAATGGAGGACGAGATAGGGGATAATGATCTTAATCCTAGCAAACCGCAATCAAGGGAGTCAGGATCGTCCAGGTCTCGATCTACAGCAAAGAATAGGAGTGATGGCAGTAGTGAATATAAGAAGAGGAATAGTCATACGGATGGACGAGAACACAATCGACCACGGAAACTTCGCCGAATAGATAATCACGATTTTGAGAGCCGATGGGGCGATGAAGAACCCCCTTCAGGCGAGGATGAACAATATGAGTCTCCTGCAGAGAATTTGCCGGGTAAAGTCAATGTTTCCCATGATGTTGAGACTTTTGACCACTCTGAGGAAGACCATGAAAAGGCCAGGGAGCGTGATAGGAGGGAGCGAGATGAGTTTGCCAAACGGCTTATCTCAAAGGATGATAAACGGTCTAGAAAAGTGGTCGAAGATAGGTCATCTAAGAAAGACGGCGGAACAGCGTCGCGAAGGGCACTTGCAGAGGACTCGGCTGCTAGGGCCGCTGCAATGCCAGATCTTCGACTACGTTCTCGACAGGACTATCTGAAGAAGCGAGAGGCTGAACGCCTAGCTTTGTTGCGCAAACAAGTTGCGGAGGAGACAGCAGAACTTCGGGAAAATCCTGAATTGACAAGACGGGAGAAAGAAGAGTTTGCAAAGAACAGGGAGGTTTTACGGCTGGCTGAGGAGCGACTGCAAATTGATGACCATCGAGATGGCTATTTCCTCCCTGAAGACTACATAACGGAGAAAGGGAAAATAGACCGGAAGCGAAAAGAAGAAGCACTTTATAAGCGATATGTTGACCGTGATGACCATGGAAAGGAACGTTTTGTCACAGAGCATGAAGAATGGGAACTTGAGCAAACGGCAAAAGCTAAAGCTCAGATTCAAAAAGCAGAGTTCGTTGACGAAGGGGATTACGAGTACGTTTTTGATGATGCGCAAAAAGTGAATTTTATCATGGATTCAAAGATGGCTGGTGACCGGAAACCTATGACAAAGGAGCAAATGCTTTTACACAAGCAGATTGATGCTGCTGAGCAGAAAGCAAAGTCAATAGAAGAAACTCGAAAAAGCCTACCGATATATCAATTTCGAGAACAGATCCTAGATGCGGTAGCTAACCATCAGGTTTTGATCATCGTCGGTGAAACTGGTAGCGGAAAGACAACTCAAATCCCTCAATATTTACATGAAGCAGGATATACAAAAGGTGGCATGAAGGTCGGCTGTACGCAGCCACGACGAGTTGCTGCCATGAGCGTTGCTGCACGTGTGGCAGAGGAGGTAGGGGTTAAGCTTGGTGATGAAGTGGGATACTCAATTCGATTCGAAGATACCACATCTGATAAGACAGTATTAAAGTATATGACTGATGGCCGTTTACTACGTGAGCTGCTTATGGAACCAGATCTTGCTTCCTACTCTGCCCTCATGATTGATGAAGCTCATGAGCGTACCGTCCCGACAGATATTGCTTGTGGCCTATTGAAAGACATTGCTAAAGCTCGACCTGATTTGAAGCTTCTTATCTCATCCGCTACAATGGATGCACAAAAGTTTCAAAAGTACTTTGATGACGCCCCTATTTTTAATATCCCCGGCCGGAGATACCCTGTTGATATCCATTATACATCTCAACCCGAGGCCAATTACCTGGCAGCCGCAATCACAACAGTTTTCCAAATCCATATCTCCCAGGGACCGGGTGATATATTAGTGTTTTTGACGGGCCAAGAAGAAATTGAATCAGCGGAACAAAATCTGTTGGAAACAGCCCGGAAGCTTGGAAATAAAATCAGGGAGCTGGTTGTTTGCCCTATTTATGCAAATTTGCCCTCCGAACTTCAGACAAGGATATTTGAGCCCACTCCTCCGGGAGCTCGAAAAGTTGTTCTTGCTACAAATATTGCTGAGACAAGTTTAACAATCGACGGCATCGTATACGTTATTGATCCAGGATTCGTCAAGGAGAGCGTCTTCAATCCCCGCACTGGAATGGAAAGCCTTGTTGTTACCCCCTGTTCTAGAGCATCTGCCGGTCAAAGAGCTGGTCGCGCTGGTCGTGTTGGCCCGGGGAAGTGCTTCCGTTTGTATACCAAGTGGGCGTATTATAATGAACTTGAGCAGAATACCACACCAGAAATCCAGCGCACAAATCTTAGTGGTGTGGTGCTCATGTTGACTTCATTAGGAATAACTGATCTGCTTGATTTTGATTTCATGGATCCACCTCCGGCCGAAACATTGATTCGTGCTCTTGAACAGCTTTACGCATTGGGAGCCTTGAACGACCGCGGAGAGCTTACAAAAGTTGGCCGTCAAATGGCAGAGTTTCCAACAGATCCCATGCTCTCGAAATCAATCCTGGCAGCAGACAAGTACGGCTGTGTTGAGGAGATCCTATCCATCATCGCCATGCTGGGAGAGGCAAGTGCACTTTTTTACAGGCCCAAAGATAAGAAAATTCATGCAGACAGTGCTCGGGCTCGATTTACTGTCAAAGATGGGGGTGACCACTTAACTCTGCTCAACATCTGGAATCAATGGGTAGATGCTGACTTCAGCTACGTCTGGGCGAGGGAGAACTTCCTTCAGCAAAGAAGCTTAACTCGTGCCCGTGATGTTAGAGACCAACTTGCTAGGTTATGTGACCGTGTTGAAGTCACCCTTAGCAGCGCAGGAGCAAACAACCTCCCTGTGATCCAAAAAGCTGTGACAGCAGGCTTCTTCCCTAACGCCGCACGGCTTCAGCGTGGAGGAGACAGTTATCGAACTGTCAAAAATGGACAGACTGTCTACCTCCATCCATCAAGCACTCTATTTGGAACAGATCCAAAATGGGTTATCTACTTCGAGCTAGTGTTGACTAGCAAAGAGTTCATGCGTAGCAATATGCCGCTGCAACCCGAATGGTTAACCGAGGTTGCTCCTCATTATCATAAGAAGAAAGACCTTGAGACTCTTGGCTTAGGTAAGCCAAAGGGACAGCATGCCACAGAGAAAGCAAGATCATAGCCTGTTACCCTTTACGATAAGCAATGTTCAAGTCAACTAGCAAAGTATACGAATCTACAACACTTGAGAATGTATATACTTATAGTAGCATATCATACCAGTTGTACTTGTATTATAGTATTTTATTCGCCGTTGTCTTTTTATACCGTATTATCATTGATAAGATATCAATCATATTATTAAGTAATTATTGCCGCATTAGGAAGTATTCCCATTAGTAAAGATCATGTGATATAAATAAAATCACGGAAGTCTATTACTCATCAGTCACATGATCTAGTGACAATATCTTGTTGTTTATTGGTCCATTTGCTATCGATCACCTGATCGTTTCTGTTCATGCCTCGGCTCTCCGCTAGAGTAGTCTGCATTTCGGCTTTATGGAGATAGTATGTCATTCAACTTCCTACTACCTCCAAGTCCTCGACAAGCATCTTTTCAATATATACACGTCTTTATATATCCATTCATTAGGTAAGGGAATGATTTTATGTCAAAATGGTAACCCCAATGTATTAATTTAAATCATGAATATTAACCAAAAATATAGTTGCAGCTCCATCGCAAATTGCCCGATATGACGAAAACATTTACTGCAGCTGAAGTCGCAAAGCACAAGACTCCCGAGTCTGGCCTATATATCATTGTTGATTCGGATGTGTATGATATCACCAACTTTATTGAGGAGCACCCCGGCGGCTCTAGAATACTAAAGAGAGTTGCTGGCAAGGACGCTTCAAAGCAGTTCTGGAAGGTTAGTAGCTGCAATATTCAGGACTTCTCTACCAAATCCTTGGGTGGCTACTAATAATATTCCATAGTACCATGGGGACGGCGTCCTGAAGAAGTACGGTGCGAAATTAAAGATTGGTGAGGTCAAAGAGGAGGCGAAGCTATGATATCCTACCGTTATCGACATTACGAACAGAAATACCGAACGTTGTGTCATGGTTATGTTGAACCCTCTACACCACTCTAGCAAGGCCATGTCGACTCAGATATGGTGTTATCAACGTATCGCCCGGCTTTACTAGGGAGTTCTTGTTCCCGTGGTTGTTCCAGTCTCTCACAGTCAAGCAACCCTAAAGTTTGGAGGTGATACAAACTTGAGCTTTTCATTAGACTATTAGACCTGAGATAGCGTTACCTCCTTGGAACTCTGTATGTATCAATGTGTCTGAGACAGAATCAAGCATATATGTTACCCGTTTATTATTCGCCATTCTCGCAAAGCTGCACGCTGACCCTGGGCCTCATTAGGTATGTATAGCCGCCTCCAACATCTATCCAACCTCTACCGCGGAGTCCACACATAGTTAGGCTACTTGACCATTTAACTCGCTATTTCAGCTTTCGCCGTAGTCTACGGACTCAAATTTGCTTTGGCGAAATGTAAGTTTTATGCGGCTGAGTGTGACTCATTGATGGTATTGGCTACCAACAATTATTCAAGTGTTCCCATTACTCTCTGGCTATCCCTGCATGTTTCACTCAACATTTGATATCAAGATATAAAAGGATTTCAGGTCTATACCATCACTACGATCTACTCTACTACCCCCCCAAATACCACTTCCCATATATATGAAATGACGGACAACAACCCCTACCGTGCCATCCGGGCAAAGTTTACTGAAAACACCATTACCATTTACCAAGCATACTCGAACGAGATAGCAGACGCTGCACTGGGAGCAGGGGCCTTTGTTGCCCCCTTTAAACGTGGTCGAATGACCTGGATCAAGCCCTCATTTCTATGGGTTGCATATCGAAGCGGATGGGCCACAAAGCCTAACCAAGAGCGGGTTCTAGCAATCGAGATCACTCGCTCTGGCTTCGAATGGGCACTGCGCAATGCCTGCTTGAGCCATGTCGATAACTCGCTCTATAAAGACAAGTCACCTTGGGAATCGCGCATGCAAGCCTCCTGCGTCCGGGTCCAATGGGATCCCGAACGAGATTTCCACTTTAACCCTCTCGGCTATCGCTCAATACAAATTGGGTTAAAAGGAGAAGCGGTTGATCGATACGTGGATGAATGGATCGTATCGATCACTGACATCACGGAGCAGATACGCAAGGTGTCGGACTTGGTTTCATCTGGCCAACTGGGTGAAGCCAAAAAGCAAATGCCGGAGAAGTGTCTATATGACCTCCCTGGTAACGTTGGAGAGATGATAGGAGCTTCACCTGCGGTCAAAGAACCAACGTCACACCAGATGTGAAGTTTCTACATGTGAAGTATGCTTTGTGCATCATCTTTTAGCCTTAGCCCCTGGATTTCGAATTTTAGATTCCAAGGGTACACCCGAAGTAGCACGGATTTGATATGGCGATTATAGCTCTTCAATGAAGTACATGTACTACTAAGAATTTGAATATTTTCAACGTTATCTAAATGTAGCATTGATGGGAATAAATATACTCGCTTGATGCGAATTCCTTAACACAGTTAAAGAAAATGAGTCAGATCAACCGGTTGAGAAAGAAAGGTGGACTGTGTAACGAATGGGGACATAGAAAGCAAGCAAGGTACACATATGTCCGTAGCCAATGACAAGGACAGGGATATCCATAAACAAAGCGCCTTGCCTCCATTCCGCCTTGCAAGATATACATAGAACAGGAGGGTATATGAACAGTTTTTGAGAGACTAAAGAGATAGTGAGCACTGGGCCAGCTAGAAAAGAAAAGAAAAGATGATCGATAGATCAGAATACCGCCCATTCCCTAAACCAGGTAGATGGGCCATAGTGATAATGAAAAGGGCGAGAAAAAAAAAGAGGAAAGAATGCGAAAAGGTATAGATTACATAGCTGAAGTAGATCAGCGATTTCATAGCGGCAAGTTAGTGCGTTAGATAGGAAAATTGCCCATGGTAGAGCAGAGAAGTTTCGGAATGTAGGTGAAATAAACGGTTAGAATCCCCTGAATGGGTTATAATTTCGGAAGAAATCGTTTCCTCCGCCGTCTGATTCACGGAATTCGAGATCGGGGCTCTGGGGCCAGTAATACTTCTTTCTCCCACGATAGCCACGCTGACGTGGCACATCGCCTTTATCGACAAATGCCTCCATTCTCATGGTACCAACGGCATCAAAGAAGTTTGCCATACCGGGGGGAGGATGTCCACTGGCTTCGGATGTGCGAGGAATAAAACTGCTCTGTCCGCTGTGTACGCCCGAATGAGCCACGGAGGTTGGTGATTGGAGGTCAGAAGACCCAGACGTAGTTGAACTGTAGGTAGATGGAGCAACCGTGTTGCCAGAGAAAGACCTAAATGGGTTTGATAAAGGCTTAGGAGTGGTGTTGCTTCTTTTTCTAGAATGTGCTGCGAATCTGGGAACGTTAGGAGGTGCGGCGCAGTCCCCGCCGTTGCTTGGTCTACACGGCATTTCAGGGAACGACTCCTCTGGCACTGTGGCTTGAGCAGGTGCTCCTGCACGAGACTTGTTGGGTACCTGTCGGGTCTTCCCCTTGGCTACCCTGATCGAGTCACGGATAGGGTTTCGACGTAGAGCTGCGGTAAGTGGCCGTGGTCCTGATTCCACCTGAGGAACTGGTGGTAGAGTTGCGAGGTCATCGAGGCCTAGGGATGAGTGGCTCAGGAAAGACAGAGCAGTTAACCAGACATAATGACGTTCCAAGGTTAGTGCAGTGAATTTTAAGGCTCTTTGGGGAGTCAATATCAAGATTGAACGGTTGAATGAACTCTGCTGTGAGGCACCACGAGGCAAGGGGTTATCATCCTTTACGTCAAGGACGGATTGGATGATTACTGGTTTGATGATATGTTAGCTGCAAATTGCGGTATATTGGAATTGCGGTATATTGGATATAGGGGATGCTTACATTTGCGACCGCTCTTGCCTAGCAAAGCAGATCCAGTTGTCGGCTGTTTGCTACTCCACATAACAGCCCTTTCATAGGGGGCGAGCCATACCCATCTCTTATGACGAACGCCATTTCCAGAGATGTTAGTGGATGTTTCTTCCGAGTTTTTCCCGCCCTCACCTCCATCTTTGTCCTTTGGAGCTTCTGTCATTCCAAAGGACTTTCTTCTTCGGACGTACTTGTACATCCATTCTCCAATCATAGTCTGGGCTATAGCATCAACGACACTTGTCTGCTGCACCGATACAGCAGAAGATGCTTTGCGCTCATGGTAAGACTCTCCGCCCCTTGATGGCCGGCGTGAATCGCTGAAACTCGGAGATTTGTTGGATATTGAAATTCGATCTAGAGACTGAGGCAGACGGTGTGGGTATGGCGGGCTCTCCCTACCTGCAAGCGACGTCGTTGTGGAAGTAGGAGAGCGAAGCGAATTAGTGTTGTCATCACGATAGTACGGTCTCGACACCGCGGCTGCTGACCGTATCTTTCGGAGAGTGGAATCTCGCCCCATCATGCTATGGTCTGATATTGATCCACCACCCCCATTCGGAGTCGGACTTTGAGCATCTTCATTCGTAGAAGGAACCTTGCGGGAACTAAGACGGGTTGGAACAGGGAATGGAGGACGGGAACCAACATTTGCTGTATTAGCAACGTTGGAAGTCTGAGGGCTTCTTGGTCTTGAATCTGCTGCGTTTGATCCACTGGCAGCCCTTCTACTGTTAGACGTCTGCCTGGATGGGGCTGATTTCTTGGTGATTCTTGACGACCCTCTGGTGGAGGCCTTCCCGCGAGTGGCAGAGGACCGTCGCAGGCTACCACTACCACGTTTTTCATCGCCGGTGATCTGAGCAACCATGGGTTCCTCATCCTCGTGTGCTTCCATGGGGCTCTCATCGAGGATGGAACGGCTGGAAGGTTTCGATACTAGCTTCCCCATCTTGATGGTATATGATGCCATTGGTCGGTTTAGTATTGATTCATCGTCATTGAATACCTCTTCCACTGGCAGACGGGGTGCGTCGTCGTCGCTTTCGTGGTCGAATCCAGCAAACAAGCTACTGGACCTAAAGGGGCGTCTGATGTCGCCTTGCATATCTCCAGTGAGTGGGCCGTTATCATTATTACCAGGGTATAGTGATATGGGCATGTCAACGGGCGGGGCCTCTCGTAGTCGAAGAGTGGTAGTCGAAGTATTTGCGGGGGGTGGGCGATATGGCTGGTAGACCACCGGTGGCCTCATTGTATCAGGGGTGGGCTCCACCGACCGGTCCGGAAAGGCGGATGGAAGCAGGTCGAAGGGCAGACGAGTGGGCCTCTTAACCTCGCGCATTTCGTCAGTTTGGACTCCAGATGACCTCATGTCCAATTGAGGCTCAGGGAGAGTCTGGGAGCAGGCACTCTTCGTTTGTGGGGGGAGGACAACGCTGGTTCGAGGAGTGGATGGGTTTGACAATGGAGGATGAATTGCAATCATTGGAATACTGAACTGCGGGGTCCCCGGGGGTGATTCTTTTTTGGGCGCCTGATCTTCTTCAGTTTGAGTGGAGGAAGATACCATTGTGTCCTGATCTTGCTGTTCATCAGCTGGTTCTGGCTGAGGTTGAGTTTCGGGGAAGTCTTCAATAGTCTGGCATTCGGTAGAGGTTACAACGGCTGGGCGGGTTTGAACTCCCATGTCAAACGTTTCGTAGACGCTAGTGGTCTTCTCTGTTACACCTACCAAATCATCTGCTGCCGGGGGTGTGATGGGAGCCTCCGGTAACAGCGGGGGTGTAAACGGACGATGAATTCCATTAACCACTGCTGCATCTCCGAGAGGTGAGGGAGGAGGAGTAAACTGTATTCCAACATCTCGATAACTTCTGGAGACTGGCGTCTCTGGTATCTCGCAGTAATTGTTGTATCTTGGTGAAGCAGGATTTGACCAATGGTCCCTAACCGGAGAGCTTTGAGCGCTTGATGTATCAAATGCAAGTCCCAAGATTTTCCTCGCCTTTTGGCCAGTGAGAATGGACTGGCTTGACATTGGTCGTTGTTCGTGCGCGGACGAGAAGGGCTCTGTTTCAGCTCTCGAGAATGCCCTGCAATTGCTACCAGGCCTCTCCATATCCTCGTCTTCCGTCTCCTCGCAGGCTAATTCATCAGCAAGACTGGTGCTCACTAGGCTTGTACCGTTTGTAAGTCCCATGACCGAACTCCGAAGGTGGTTGGAGCTGTTGTAGGTGCTGACGCTGGAGTTACTGCCTCGTCGTCCTGCAACCGGGCTGTTTGATCGAAGGCTCATTGCGTCCATGGCCCGGGGAGTTGTGGAATCGACCGTGTCAACGCCCGGCTCGTTTAGCTGTCCATCGGGATGATCATGGGCTTCGCTATGCTTCCTCTGGGCAGCTTGAGACGAGAGAGTGATCTCATTGATAACTGTCTTGAGGCGTCCCTCGACTATGTGCACTTTGGTTTCAAGTTTCCGCTTGTCATCGTCCCATCGTTGACGATCGGCATCCCACAGTTCCTGCGTCCGTTCGGCTTGATCTTGATATAGTCTGGCGTTCCTCTGGGCATCCTCCAATCTTCGTCTCGATTCAGCTATGGATTCCCATGCATCGTCTCTTTCTTTGGTGAGTTCGGTGACAGCGCTGAGGGACCCGCCCTCGAGTAGCTGTATCTGCTTCTTCAACGTCCTGTTCTCCTTTGCATGGATGGCAAGTGACTGTTTCAGAGACTCTTCATCTGATCTGGAGGCCTCTAGGCTCAGCTCCAGGGACTCTATAGCACTAGACTTGCCTTCCAGGTCCCGACGCAAGGACAATATCTCCGAGACCAGGGAGGCATGTAACGTAGGAGTGAACCGTCGGGGGTCAAGGGGAGAAATGGATTCTTCACCGGCAGCATCAAGCTTGCCTCGAGACTCATGGCTGTCCGCTGGATCGAGCCGTAGCGAGGACGGCTTGGGAGGAGAATCTATCCAGCTCAGCGACTGGCGGGACACAAGGGTCTGGTAAGGAGTATCTGTCAAAGCATGCGAGGTGTAAACCCCCTCGCTGTCCCTGGAATCCATTGAGGCCTGACCTGGCATCTCACGTATGCCAACCGGGCTTTGTCTCTTTGATGTTCAATGGTATATATAGATATAGATATACAGATACTAATCGGCCGTTTAATATATCAATATATCAGTGAACTGTAGCAGATATCCAGTCCCGGAGGTCAACCCCAAGTTTCTGCGCGCAGTGGCCATGCGACTATACCATGGCGTACAGTAGAGAATGTCCCGGCAGTTTGTAACTATGTATCCATTCGTCAGGCGTAAGATTGCGGAGAAAAGAGAGAGAAGGGCGTCTAGCGGCCACTAACAGACGAAAAGGAGGTCGGCGAGAGGAGGAAGAGACGGAGAGGAAGAGGGCAGAAGTATAGAGACAAGAGACCAGAGGGAGAAAAAAAGAGATTCTGGATATAACCAAAAAAAAACGACGCGAAATCGAAATCTATCAAGAAGACAACAGAAGATATTACCATGCGGTTAACACCATTGACCCAATAATAGCAGTGATAATATGGAGGACCATGCAGTGTGCCCTGCCAGCGTTCAGAAGCAGAGGATAACAATGCAGAACGCGGCAGAGTAGGGGGTGATTGGGACGATAGGGATGGGCAGCCAGCGGCTTCAACGCTTAAGCAGGAGACAACATGTGAAGACGAGCAAGGGGTTGAAGCAGGCGAAGCAGGAGAAAAAAAAAAGGCAGAGAAGTGTCTTCCGTCTGCGAGTCCATATAATAATACAATACAATAACAGTTATACTTACATGGTTTATAGAGAACACGCAGCCAGCCAGAGCCAGACCGGGAACCTCAGTGGCACGTCAGACCTGTGTCAGTGGTATATATCAAATTGAACCTCGAGAGGCGACTCGAGATATCAAAAGCCACGGACAGAGCTGCGCAACGCGAGCAGAAAGAGAACGAGAGGGAGGCTTCGAGCGCAGCTTTGCCGGCCGGCCCTGATGGACATACTTAGTTCTACCCCCTGGACGAGCTCTGGTGGCCCTGAGATGCAGCGCTATGTCGGGAACGGCCTAGCGAGCAGGAGCTGCCAGTGGAGTTGGGGGAGGGATATGCCTGCTTGCGAGTCAAAAACTTCCGCGCGACAAGCGTCGATGACATTGGCGTGTGTGTACGGGGGGGGGATCGATATCAGACCAGTGGACTCTGCTTGTGTCCCTGTCTGCCCCTGGCTGCCCGGCTGTCTGTCTGCCTGACTCGCAAAAAGGGGCACACCGCACGAGAGAGAGAAAGGGAGAGAGAGAGAGAGGCCGGCTGTCAGCTTCATGCATCGCCCAAACACATTCCAGTCGCCTTTCCACAAGGACATCCCCGAGAACGCTGGCGAACAAGCAGAAGAAGCAAAGAGAGAGAGAGAGAGAGACGACGACGAAAAAGAAAAAGCAAAAAAGGGGGGAGGGCACTTTACTTTTGCAAGAGGAAGCCAGCGCTGTGGTATCTGGCGTGATGGGCCAAACGGCCTCCCTGTGGTTTAGTGTGAGTGACCTTACTCCTAATAGTTGACTCCGTATATAAGATATACGTGCAACGGTAGCAGCACCGGCTTTTCGACTGGCTGGCAGATTATTTACTGAATTTTTATTTTTCTCTCTCGCAGGCGCCTCTTTGTCATTGGAAGGACGCTCTCCACCGGGGAAGATGCGCCGTTGATCATGAACAAATGAGCAAGTCTCTTCCAGCGGCCCGAGAGCTGTGCCAGTTCGTATTACTAGTACGTCAGGGCTAATCCTGGCTCGATAGTAGAGGGATACGATGCCCTTAGCCTAAAATGAACGGTGGGCTCGCTGCTGCAGGCCAGGCGCGAAGCTTTGCTGCATCCAACCTTACCGATACGTGGGTGCGAAAGGCATGCAACCCAAAGGTTCGGCTTGTGAGCTCACTTTTTGGCGGCCTCCCTCTGCTCCTCTTCGCTCTGCCATGAAAGGCACGATAATGTTGGGGAAAATTCGATCTGTCAAATAGGCCGCCATTCGACCGATAAGCAGCTGGGTCGGAAAAAGCAAGCAGGGCAAAAAGAGAGGCCGCAGCGAGGCCGTTGCGAGAACCATAGCAGGGCGGTATTATTGCTTGGGAAGGGCCGTCACCCTTGCTCGATAACCATTGCTCCATCCAGATGTTTCGCCGAGCTGATACCTATAGTAATATTGGGATACAGGATCAAATATCATTATAAGGCAAGGGTTGTTTGTTGACAGGGCCGATCACCACATGGGGTTGGGCAGACACAAGAGTTCTCGAACCAAGGATGGTAGCTTGGATTATGGAGCCGTCGCTGGAGCCCTCGTCTGCTGTTCCCGTCGATTCTTAAATGAACAAAAAAGGACAGCCATGGCTCATTCCCGCTGGCCGATCCAAGGGTCGCTGCTGGGAGGCGAAAAGAAAAAAAGAAAAGAAAAGAAAAAAAAACAATTAGAGGGCCGGGGGAGATGCATGGGATAGCGACCATCGCAATAATTTTTTTAAGATCACGAGCTGGAAGTATAAAAAGGGAGGGACACGATGCTAAGAAAAAAGGGAAAAAAAGAAAGGAGGAAGAAAGAGACAAGACAAGACGAAGAACAAGACGAAGAAGCAGAGGCCGGGCTTGCGGTGCGAGATGACAGGGTCGTGATGGACGAATGTATAACGCTTCCTCCCAGGCTAGAATCCAATGGATCTTTCTTAAAATCAGTTCAGTCATCAACGACAAGGAGGAACATTGAGGGCGAAGATTAAGGGTGAAGTCGTGAAACTACAACTTTGCTCGTCCTTCGCTTCTGGTCGTGTTGCTGTTGTTGCTGCTGCGTTGCGACTTCGCCTGCTGGAGAAAGTACTCCTTCACTCTGCGCCTGGCCACTCCAACAACATCCGGATCCTCGACCGTTGGCGGTACATTGACAGCCGCATCATACTTACCTTCGGCTGCCTTCTCCACAAGTTCCCTCAATACCCGTCGAAGTGTCTTGCCGCTCCGTGTCTTTGGGATCATCCCTTGGCCCTGAACGATCCCTCCGAGCGAGGCTATAGCCCCTATCTGGTCTCTCACCAAGGCGTTGACTTCCTGGAAGAATTCTCTGGACGGAGTCGCTGGTATTCCAGACGCTGTCTTGGCTGAGGGATACAGTTGCACGAATGCAAATGGCAGATGACCCTTGATGCTGTCGGGAATGCCTACTACGCTTGCCTCTGCTATATCCGGATGCGAGAGAATAACTTGTTCAATGGCCCCTATGCTAAGAGATTAGCACCGGAACTATCGAACCTAGGAGAAAAGAAGATTACACATACCAGTGCTGAACCTGTGTGCAGCTACGTTGATGATATCGTCTGATCGTGACATGACGTGGACATATCCATCCTGATCTATCATGCCAGCGTCGCCGGTATCCATCCATCGGCTGGAAAACCGCTTGAGATACCCGTGATAGAACCGCCGGTCGTCGTGGAACAGAGTTGTGAATCCCGTGGGAGCAAACGGTAAGGCCAGCACGATGTTGCCCATGGTACCATTCTCCACTTCCTCGCCCTCATCGTTGACTATTCGGACGTTAAACCCGGGCATTGGCTTGCCGGCAGAGCCGGGCTTTGCTCTGAGTGCTCTGGTCTTTGGAATCTTGCCATTGGCTACTCCCAGGTCAGGCCTCAGAGCAAGTCCCGTCATGGGTGACCCAGACTCAGATGACCACCAGTTATCTATTACCATTGCTCCAGGCGCAGCGTGCTGTTCCAGCAGTTTTTGGAAGGCTACTACAATGCTCGGCTCGCTTCTCTCGCCAGCTAGAAAGAGGCCTCTGAGCTGCTTCAACCCTCCCCTTTGACCGACCTGATGTAGCAGTTCTGACTTGGGATCCTCCTTGTGTATTACTCTCAAGGCCGTGGGAGCAGTGAACAAGGCGTTTACTTTGTGTTTTTCAATTAACCTCCAGAAACTACCAGCATCTGGAGTCCCGATTGGTTTGCCTTCATACAGCAGCGTCGTAGCACCTGCAAGGAGTGGTGCATAGAGTATGAACGAGTGGCCAACGACCCACCCTAAATCAGACGCACAGAACATCACATCGCCGGGTCCCTTGATATCAAAAAGGTACCTGATAGAGAGATTTAAGCCGACTGCGTGGCCACCGGCTTCTCTCAGCACTCCCTTTGGCGTTCCCGTTGTTCCTGTCACATTCCATTCAATCAGCCAAATTTTTTATTTTTTTCTTATTTTGCCTCCTCCCATCACAAATCATGTAACATATAACCTACCACTGGTATATATGATATATAATCCTTCATCACTCCGAACTGGCACCGCGTCAGCCCGTAGACCACGCCTTTTTGCATCATCTACCAGACGGCGCCAATCCCTCTGACCCCGGTCCTCACGGATAGGAGACCAACGCAGCTCCTCTCGCTGCCATACAATCACCCGTTCAGGCTTGAAGGAGCTCTTGGAAATAGCGTCCTCGACCAGGAGTTTGTACTCAATGGGACCCTTTTTGCCTTCAATGCCACAGGATGCAGTCATAACAGCCTTCGGCTGGCCTGCCTCTATCCGCTGGGCAAGGGAGGATGCAGCAAACCCGCCAAAGACAGCAGCATGGATTGCTCCCAACCTTGTAATTGCTAGTGCCGCAACAAGCGCAGCAGGTATCATGGGCACTATCCGCCGTCAGCCAAAAAAAATTCAACACAGTTCCGTCCACGCGCTGTAAGTAGACATACTGTAGATAACCACCACATCGCCCCTCTGCACCCCTTGCTCCCTCAGCACGCCCGCCAGCACTTCCACTTCCTCCAGCAGCTGGCTATAGGTGATCTTCTCCTCCCGGCCTGTCGCCGGCGACTCCCATAGGATAGCCACGTCTGCTCCGCGGCCAGCCCGGACATGTCTGTCTACGCAGTTATACGTAGTCGAGATCTCCCCGTCCGGGAACCACAACCAGCTCTGATGCCGAGTACCATCGGCCAGCGTCCTTGTGCCCATGCGTAGAGCAGCAGAAGGCTCCTTGTGCCAGTGAAGCTGTGCTGCGTGGCGAGCCCAGAACTGCTCCGGGTGTGTGAGCGATAGGCTCTGCACTGCATCCTGAGGGTGTAATGCCGGCATTATTGCTTGGGATGACGAGCTAATAGCGAATAACGGCTATTCAAGATATCAAAACAGGCGAAGCGAGATTATCACTAATCAAACGGCCAGTTCAGTCGAGCAGCTGTGAAGCAGCTTTGATCCCGTCCTTGTCGGCGTTGGTTGATCGATGGTTGCAGGTCGGCCGGTTATGCCGCTTAAGCAACGCCGAAGGATTAAGTAAGACGCATAACTGGATGTTCCATGTCTCGGAACGCCGGCCACGGCCCCAGGGGCGATGCTCCATAACACGATGCTCCATAACAGCCAGTTTACATAAGAGCGAGCTTTACCTAGGTAAAGGCAGCTGGGAGTTGCCGGCATCCCGTTTGCTGCCTTCCATGGCGTCTGGCCCAGCCCCCTGTTGGCTGCCGGGGGATGTGAGATGAAGCCCAGGACGGCCGTGCAGGCCAATGGCAGGCCGGGGAGGCTGTCTGGGCTGACAGGGGGCTGGGATGAAGGTGACGATGAAGATTAAGTATTTAGATATGGGACCCAAGTCGGTCTATATACGATGGAGTTATTAAAGGAAACTTGGTGGATTAACAGTGTATCTAGATTGCGTATAGGGGAAGCGAACTACAACAGGACGAAGAAGTATGAGTAGTAGAAGAAGACGACGAAAAGGAGAAGACATGGAATATACACCGTCTACTACATAAGTAAGCGAGATGTCCACCCAACCCTGAGCACGTTAGCTGTGATGATAGATATTATATACATTTGCAACCAGCCCCCCGGCACAGAGAACTAGTTAGAAGTGTTAGAAAGCCCGTTGGCAGCAGAAGAGGGCTGGGCGAGGAGAGGTTGGATAATAGATAACGTTGGTACAGGGGCAACCGTGGCGTAGCGTTTGAGGTGGCCGGCCGTCTAGTGTTCTCGGTAGTTGCGGGTGTGTATCCCGAGGATTTCCCTGGTATCTCAACTTCTTCTATGCTGGCCGTCGGAGTATGTAGACTTGCATATTAATATTGCGTTGTATTGCTTGCTGTGGGGATCGCATTGGCAGCGGCGTAGATATTCATCCGGCCATGTTCCTGGGCACCGGGCAGCAAGAGTGGGAAGGGAAGAAAAACAGTTGTCGAAATAAGAAAATAAGGCGAAAAAAATAAGGTAGAGAGAGTAAAAGAGAAACACATGTATATATATGATATTATGTGTATATATATATGTATATATATATATATATGTATATATATATATATATAACGGTCTCACGTAGTCTCTCAATCCAGGTTGTTGTAGTAGTAGCGGCAGTAGCAGCAGCATTAGCAGTCCCGCAGTCCCGCAGATTCAGATGACCCATCACATCACACATCCAGCATGCAACAACAACCACCCTCCTCCCTTCCCCATGTCCATCCAATTGCTCTCGAGTTCTCTGTATATTCTCTTCTCCATCCTCCCCACTTGATTCATGCGCACAGACGAGAAAGTCCTGAAAAAAATAATAATAAAAACTCCTGGGCTAGAGAAGGCAAAAAACCAAGGCAAGAGGCAGCAGCAGTAGCAGGCAGACAGGCGGGCCGGCAAGAAGAGGAATGTGGGGAAAAAAGGCAGAAATAGTAGAAAAAAAGATAATTAACTTCTTCGTTCGTATAGATCATCAAGTCATGTAAAAAGTATCGGTTTCAGGTATGGTTGGCTCGGAAACGGTGAGACGGTAAGACGGTAGGTGGTAGATGATGGCTGGCGGCGGATGGCATGGCCAGATAGGAATCGGAATAGAATAGATGAGTAGGCTGTAAAATAGGAGAAACGAACCAAAGGGAAACAGCTCAAGACCGTTGTGCAGCGGGAGTTGGCACAAGGAAGGAATATAAATATCGAGGGGGGAATATCCAAGGAGCCACGGGGAACCAAAAAAAAAGAGAATAAGAATAAAAGTCGGGGTATGATAATAAAGAAGCAGGGAGAAGAGGCAGTTTAGATGTAAAAAAAAAAAAAAAAGGGAAGGGGGGGAGGGGGAGGACAGTTTAAGGGTGTATAGTTGAATGGAGCAAAAAAGACCCTAGAGAATCATGCATTTGACACCCCTGTGCGTTTTTGATCGATCGGGACGTAGAGCCTTTTGATAGTCTGATCCGTTGAGGTCCCTGTTAGAGCCGCCCTGCCCACCAAACCCAGTTGCTCGCCGGTCCGACGGCCGGTTGAGCTGTTGTTGTTGCTGCTGCTGCTGTCTTTGCTGCCTGAGCAGCCTGACAACATCGAAAAAGGCCTTTTCGACATTGATGCAGTTTTTGGCGGAGGCTTCGACAAACTCACAGCCGAGGTCCTTGGCAAGAGCCATACCTTCCTGGGACGAAACGGCGCGCTCAACGGCTTTGTCTGACTTGTTGCCGACGAGCATGACGGGCACGGGGCCGGCGGGCGCGGTTGAGATGGTGGAGTTGAGCGGGGAGGAGAGATAGCTTGCTCCCGTGGGCGAGCCGGAGCTGGCTGATTCCTTGACGAGCTGGATCTGGTGGTGGAATTTCTGTATCCTGGTGAAGGAGGAGCGCGAGGTGATGCTGTACACGAGCACGAAGCCCTCGCCGTCTCTTATCCACTGGTCGCGCAGGGCGGTGTATTCCTCCTGTCCGGCGGTGTCGAGCACCTCGAGCATGCACGACTGCTGGTCGATAACGACCTGTTTGCGATATGAGTCTTCAATCGTAGGATCGTATGTCTCGACGAAGTGGTTCAGGCAGAGCTGCTTCCCGTTAGTGATGCTATTTCTTTCTGTGGCATTTTTTTTTTTTTTTTCCTCTTTTAAGGATCGTGTTTCAAGACCAACCTGGATTGTGAGAGCTGTCTTGCCGACTCCTCCATCGCCCAAGACAACGAGTTTATATAGAGTCATTTTCCCCGCCATGATTGCAATGAAACGAGTACACGCACACACTTGAGACTGATAGAGACAGGAAAAGAAAAGCAAAGAAAAACAAGGGCAGAAAACACGAAAGATGCAAATAAAAAAAGAAGAGAAGAAGAAGATACAGCAATACTAAAAAAAAAAAAAGAATCCAGCAGCAGGAGCAGAGCGAGGATTTGTTTTTCGTCTGCCCTGGGTTAAGTTCTAGACGAATCGCGGGTATGCAGAGACTCAACGAGAAACGCAGGCAAGACTTGACAAGCCCGGATGGCCTCAACGGTGGCGCCAGATGGACACCAGCGACAGAACAAATAGTGTGTACGGTGGACAATCTCGCTGTGCAGAGCCTACAGGAATATCCGCGAGCTTAAGTTAGCCTGGCTGAAGAGAGAGAAAGCGAGTGAGAGTTGAGTGAGTAAGAGTGGAATGTTCTTGAACGGCAAGATCCACGCCTGCGCCCCGTGGCGAAAACACGTCCAGAAAGACGCCAACTGGGGGGTGGGAACGATAGGACGGGCGACAGAGCAGGAGGAAAAAGGAATATCAGAGACGCAGAGCGGCGGGAGA